TCGAATTGGATCGACAATTTTTTTTAGCTTCGCGATGCTCATAACGTTCTATGAACTTTAAGGCTCGTTAGTCCGCATCATTCCCTCCAAGAAAGAGAAAATTCACCCTCAAATTATCCGCATCATCATCTTTAGAAGAATCATCGTGAAATGGAATCAAGTGCTTGACATTAAACACATTTACAAGTGTGAATATGACTAGGCGAACTTGAGTCGATAAGCATTAGGGTTAATCTTCTCAACTATCTCCATAAACCGAGCTAGTGACACCATTTTTTTATTTTCTCCTACAGGTTTGGAAACACACGGGATCTTGCTAGGTACAAGTACAATCTTTACCCTATTAAATATAAAACTATACATGTTGGCTCGTTCATCATGAATTACACCCCTATCACACTTGCTAAGCCCTACCCAACGAGTAAATGACATGTATCCATTACAACCACATCACATCATACATCATCCTTATACTTAGAGCCAATAGAAAAAGAAACCAAAGCTCATTGAGAAATAATTACCTCTCCTTATTTTTTAAGCCGAGCCAACTTGTAAGGTTTAGGGTGCCCCTCTGTTTTGAGATTTAATTTTTGCACTACTTCATTAGTTATAAGACTCTTACAACTATTAGCATCAATGACAAAATGACATACTTTACTTCGATTTGTGTAGATGAATCGAACAATTTTACACCTTAACTAATCATCATAAACAACTTTAGGATTCAAGAAGGACCTCCTAATAACTAGTGTTGCCCTCTCATCGCCCATCACAACCTCCTTTTTTGGGGTATCCGTATCGTTATAAACTAGATCACTAGTCAACTCTACATCACCTTCATCATAATCTTTAGCATTAACAAGAAGTACTCTCTTCCCCGTCTTTCGACACTCAAACTATCTCTAGCTAACTTCACCACACCCAAAGCACTTTATATTGATACCAGCTTGCCTTGTTACTCGCCCGATAATCGTGGTGTTCTTGCTACCTTCCCTCCTTCTCGGACTACATCACCACTACCAATTATGTCGTTATCGCTTCCCGTACTAAAAGGGTTAATAAAGTTACTCCAATAGGATCGCTTCTCAACCCGCAATGCTTTTGAAAAGCAGTAAAAAGACATATGAGGTCAAACATATTAACGTAATCCCTAACCTATAATTTCAAAGCACAAATATATCTCACCACCAACTAATCCTCCGTCTCTTGAAATTCATTCCGACTAACAATTAGTAGAACTCATTAGTATAATCATTTACCGATCAAGTCCTATGTCTCAAATTTTATAACCGTTAGTACATCATCCTCTGAAGTTATAAGGTAAGAAGGCGGTATGCATGTGCTTCTTTAATTTTTCTTAAGAATTAATCTTAGGTTTACCCATCTTAGTTCAGTTAGTTTCAATTGCTCCCACCAACCTATTGCTCTTTTCCTAAATCTAGTTGCTACTAAAGACACACATTTATCCTCGAGGACCTTCTTATATTTTAGAATCTCCTTTACCATCGACAACCAATCTAAGAACTCCTTTGACTTATGGGTATCATAAAACTCAAGAATCTTAATCCACATACCAGCTTTTCCATCTCCTACCGTCATAATCTCTCACAGGGATCCTTTGTTGTTTATGTGAAACATCTTCTTCATCCTCCTCATCATCCACTCTAGTACCTAGTGCCTTCTAGTTATGATGGCGAGCCCGGTTTTGGTGGCCTCTACCATGTTCATTATCCGCGCACTCATCTCGCCGCGCCAACACCCTTATCCGTTATGTTAACTCGCCGTAATAACTACTCCATCCCGGCATTCATCTACTCCACTCATCGCTCTAAACGCACCACATCGGTACATTCATAGATCTTATCCACATCCCACTCGTTGCTTCCTCTTTGGCGGCATGGTTAGAACATCAACGATCGAGCTCGATATCAATTGACGTAGCAAAAACTCACAATAAGAAAATAAATACATTTAGTCCGAAATTTAGATGTCGGTCTATTATAACATGTTAAATTGCACATAAATATCAAAAAATAAGCTTCAATTCCTTTGATTCAAAGAATGCCGAAAATTGAGATAAACTAGAGATATTCTCTCATAAACTTTTATTAATCAAGAAAAGCTATATTTTTTAGCCTCCAAGTTATACATATGTAGGAAAATTCGATCAAAACCCTAAAGCAATTCAAAAAAGAAACAAATACACAAAATTCAAAAATAAGAAAAAATCTAAAACAATTAGTAAAAGTTAATTTTGAGGGACTAAATAGTATTTTTTTGGCAAAAATACCCCTACATCATAGGTGTGACCTATGAGTTTTGCTTCATGGCCCGTTTGGTATCGAACTAGGTCCAAAAAACCTCGGAATTTGATTGATAGTTTTTTTTTTAGCTTCGTCACGCTCATACCATCTTATGAACTCTAGGCCCGTTAGTTCGCATCATATTCCCGTGCACTCGCTTTATAGTTTTGGTTTCAATTCTTAACACTCTCTACCAAGTTTAGGCAAATCAGATTTGGGAGGAGCGTTCATCCTTGCTGCCTTCTATGTAACTTCGCTGATGAATGCTGTGATCACTTATTGTTTGCTTGTCCTTACTCTGCAAGTATTTGGCAGAATATTTTGCAATTAGCAGTATCAGCAAACAAGTTAACGGAGTTTCAATGGAAGAGACAATTTTTGGAGAGGAGAGGTTCTTAGCTACTCCTACGAGGCTAGCTTGGTTGCTCTATGAATGAAAGGAACTTCATAGCAATTCTCAAGCTGCTGCAGATAGAGTAACAAAGAACATTATTGAAGCAGTACAGCTTAAGTTCCATGGTAGCAAGATACTTGAAGATGGTGCGCAAAGTTCAAAGTATTTTGTTGTTTGTCAAAATTGGAAATTTGTTAGCCATTAGGCTGTTATTCTAATTGGTTCTCTCTTTTTTCTGTATCATGCACAGCTTTGTCAGGAGGTTTGACCCCCTGTATTTTGATGGATTCTCAGTAATTCTACACTAACCCTTTTCTTTTCTTTTTTTAATTCTAGACTCTCTATTGCTAACCAATGTGACAAATTGTTTTCCAATATGTCGAGTTTCCGTAACATGTTATTCAAAATGTTTTAAGTACTAATATATTGACCTGGTTCTTTTATTCATATGACAACAAATGTGCTCTTTGTCCAAGCTTTGAGATGTAAGATTGCAGAAAAAGTGTCAATATCGTAAGGTAGCTTGGTTTGCTCTGGCTACATTTATTTGTCAATGGATTTGCAGTGTACTGATTGATCATGTGCTGTATCTTGTCCCATTTTGCATTAGTTTAGGTGAATCCATGTTTTTAAAACTACTTCGTTTTGGTATTATAGAACCAGTGTTTCTTCGGATATGATTAATTCTATCTGCAAATTCTCTGAGGATTGTGATTTTGAGAAGAGTTTACTACTTTGTGATATTCCCAACCTATGGATGTGCGGTGGTAAGGCCAAATCTTCTGAATGGTTGTCTCCACCAATAAAGCAAATAGTTGGGCTTAAACGAAGAGCCTTCCTCCGGTTATGTTGCTACTGAAATGGAATTAGTGGGGGTAAGATTGAGAAATTTTAATCTATGAGGGTAAAAGCAGAACATTAATAAATCTACGAGGGCAGAAATATTGTTTACCGAACAAAAAAATCTCCAAGATGTTGCTAGTTACCAAGTACATAAGCAGAATCACATATGTATCTAATTATCTCCCTAAAGTAACACTGAAATCGTCTGCTATAAGAAGCCAGCCTCCATTTGAATGAGGAAATCATGTCAAATGTCTGTAGACTGTAGCTACCAGCCAAAAGGCTAATGCCACCGCTCTTTCCAGTAATTGCGTGATAGATTTTTTGAATCAAATGTTAAAAATGACAAGGTAGTTTGGTGACAGGAAACATCAAAGAAATTTCAAGTTTTTGGAAGCTAGTAGTTTCTGTCCCAACAAGTTTTGAAGGGCTAAAGGCACGTTCCACTTTATGGAGGAAGAAGCTCCTCATGAAGATATTACGGCTCTAGCTCACCTTGCTTAAAGAAAGGTCAAGTAAGCCAAAGTTAATATTCCAAGAATCCAATAGGAGAACCCGAGAAACGGGGTTCACCTTGTTTAAAACCCTTGTTCAAAATTTCACCCTTAAAATAGAAGAGTAAAAAACAAAGTCATCTCGCAAAAATATATTATATATTGGCCATCACTTATCAGCAAAAAAGCGTCATCCTTATTGCAATTGGTCCCCATATTCATCCAGATGTCAATATCAATCCCTACTTCTCCGAAGCCAGCAAGATACCATATGATTTGAAACCAACTTACCAGTATACATAAAGAGCGTAGCCATTGCTTTCAATAATCACTTCTGTTGGAGGATAGTAATACGAAGTATCTAGCATGTAATTGGCCTGAACCTTATTTGTAGGAAATACAAGTTTGAGTACTAAATGACAAATTGCCAACAAAAATAGGAACATGTTCATAATTTCGTTGGAAGGAAATAAAATACTCCCCATCGATATGGAACTTTAGCATCATCGGAGCTCAAGCCGAGAAAAGATAAATCATCACCGCATAGGCAATGACAGTGGATGACGTTAACTCAAATTTGCTATATGGGGTTGCTTGAATTGACCTTGGGCTTACAGACATGATAAGTTGTGCAACCTCCAAGGTGTTACCATCTGGGTTAATTAGTAACTAGTATGAGTTACAGTTTATGCCAAATTTAGTGGTCATAGTGGCTTAATTATCACAGCATGGTTTTGGTCTGAAAATTGATTGGAGAGAATCTGCCAGGAAAGTTCCTCACCTATTAAGGACAGATTAATCCAGCGTAAATTGGAATTCAAAGCAAGGAGATGTTTCCAAAATGTTGCTTTATAAAAGGACCATTGCTAGTTAAGTGTTAATGCATACAAAGAGAGTAACAAAGCTTGAGTGAGCAAGTGAAGAGGAAAAGAAAAAAAAACACGAAGAAGAGAGGTAGAGATGAATATGGAGATCGAGGAAGTAAGCAGCTACGGGGCACTTCCCCTCCTCTCACTGAATCATGTATCATTGATGTGCAGATCAGTGTGGGCTTCTGTTAGGTTTTATGAGGATGTTTTGGGCTTTGTTGTCATCAAACGCCCCTCTTCTTTCAATTTCAATGGAGCTTGGTTAGTTTATTTACACCCTCTGCATTTTTAGGCATTAAATATATCTTCACAACTTCGTTTAAAAAGAACTGACTAAATTGTCTGATTAAATCCAGGTTGTACAATTATGGGATCGGTATACATTTGATTGAAAACCCATCAATTGATGAGTTTGACCCCATCGTCGAACCGCGTCCGATTAATCCCAAGGATAACCATATGTCCTTCCAAGTAAGATTTATGAATTCAAAACTTGAGAAAAGAAAATGTATAGCCATGATGGTGGTGATACTAACGATAGTACTTTGATTATTTTTGTTCAATAGTGCACTGATGTTGGCCTTGTTAAGAGGAGGCTGCAAGAAATGGGAATGAGGTATGTAACGGCTGTGGTGGAAGAAGATGGGATCAAGGTGGATCAGGTATTCTTTCATGACCCAGATGGTTACATGGTTGAAATCTGCAACTGTGACAACATCCCAATCCTTCCTCTGTCATCCTGCTCATTCAAGCCAAGAACGGGAAGTTTCAAGAAAGCAGCACCAAGTAGCTGTGGATTCATGGAGAATGTGATGATGGAGAGCTTGAGCATGGACATGATGAACATTTCATTTTGAGTCGCAAAAAGAGCGATCACCGATCAACAAGTTCGACTTGTTTTTGTCTGTTAAAAAAAAAAAGTTATTTTCCTATTGCAAATGTATTTTTGTTACAGGTCCTGAATGTTATAGGGTCTAGTGTCTTGGGTCATGAAGAGTGAGTATTTTGGTTATTTGGTACTTAATTTGTAATAAGTAAAATTGTGAGATTGAACAAGATGTATTCCGTCTGTATAAAACCTGTGATGAGCCAAGATGTGGCTTTTACATTTGGAAGTGCAAATATATGTTGTCATGAAAAGTTTTTTCAATGAAAATTCCTGCAATCTGTTCTGCATTGGATTCTCCTTGTAGAGCTAGACTAGACCTCCTTGTATCATGAAAAATTCCCATAGATTCCCTTCTTTTTTCTGTTCCTCTTTTAGAAACGATCCATTTAGCCTCTTTACACTTTTCAAAGAAGAGCCTAACAAAAGGAGGATGCGGATGGTGGTTGGGCTGAGATTCCTAGGCATCCTTCGTAGGTGATTTTAGTCACATCCCTAAACCATCAATTTCTTGGCCAACGAAAATCTTGAGCCACCTAATGAACAAGGAAGGAAGTCCACAGAACCTATTACGTATAAGGTTTTGATAGGAGATGCCTTTGCCTCATGAACGGCTAGGCTTCAAAGAAAAGCAATAACTATGTAAAGAGGTGGACCCCATGTCTGATATCAAACTGGTGAGCAAGAATAAACGCGAAGGCACTATCACCTTCAAAATATACCCCACTGCCTTTGAAGTTTGTGGCCACAGATTCTGAAACAAAGTCTGACAAAACATAATCAACTAGGGAAAAAAAGAAAGAAAAAAACCTCCGTTTCTTTAGTTGTGCACTTACTAAAACCACAAGTATCATCTCTTGTTAGTATATCTTCAGGCCCCTTTTTATCCCCATTTCATGTCCCTCACTTTCTATCACTACCAGCAACTAAAACATTAACATTTGGTAGGCAGCATAAAAATCAAACATCCAATCATTTTACACGTAGATTTAGTGAAGTCGTGTCTTGTTTTGGTGTTTGTTATCTTTATTAGAACAAACTTTACGTGAATCTTTTCTTGTTTCTTGATCTTGGAGAAATGAGAGTGAGAGAGAATTATGCGTACCCTTTGTGACGCCTGTGAAAGTGCTGCTGCTGTTGTATTCTGTGCTGCTGATGAGGCTGCACTTTGCCTTGCCTGTGATGAGAAGGTATGCTTTGCTTGCTTTTTAACTGTTCTTAATCCTGATTGCAATGGTTTGTAATCTTGATATTGAAACCTGGAAATCTTTTTAAATTGTTGTAAGTTTTGGGGGTGTTCTATCTGTTGGGCCAATTGATAATTTTTGTCCTGCTTGATTGGGGTCACTTCGATATGGAGAACTTCTATTTCAGCTATAAGACCAATTACAGAAGTGTGAAAAAAAAATACTATTTCAAGAAGTGTGATTTATGTAGCAACATCTCACAATTGTTTCATCTTTGATAGGAATTGATGGATGTTGGACACTATTTGTGGCAAATGCATCCTTTATATGCTTTTCTTGGTTTCTTTTTTATTGTATCAGTAACCACATAATTTCCCTGAGTCGAAATTGAACTTGACGGTGCTACTTCTCCAACTCAAATAGAGGCTTTTGGAATTCGAGATTGGTCAAGCTTGTTGGTGAACATATAATATTAAAGCTTTAATCTGTTAATTGGATTGGCAGGTCCATATGTGCAACAAACTTGCTAGCAGGCATACCCGAGTGGGTCTGGCGATTCCCAGTGACGTTCCTCGCTGTGACATATGTGAAAATGCACCTGGTATGCAGGTTCTTTTGATTTATCCTGAATCATTGAGTAATTTGGTAGTTTGGAGAAGGGTTTGAACTTTGTACTTACGTTCTCTGCTTCGAAACTTCCATACATGCAGCTTTCTTTTACTGTGAGACAGATGGAAGTTCCCTTTGCTTGCAATGTGATATGACTGTTCATGTTGGAGGTAAAAGAACACATGCGAGATATCTTTTGTTGAGACAAAGAATTGAGGTTTGTTATTGTTTCCTGCGGAAAACTCCAACAGTTCTCTTCCTTTTACGAGAATTCCTTCAAATTTTGAACTCTTTGGTTGTTCAAAAGTTTCCAGGGGATAAACCTCAGCCTGAGTACCCAGCTTCACAACCTACGGATCCAGGAGAGACAAGGAAAGGACAGAATCAGCCACCAAAGGCAACGGCAGGAGAGAGCCGACTGAATCGCCAGGTTTCTCCAGTTCCAATGTCAGTCGCTAATTCTGATGGGCATGACAAGGTGGATAAGGCGATGATTGATTTGAATATGAAGCCTCATCGAATTTACGAACAAGCTTCTAATCATCAGGTTAGTGTATTTTCATCATCCCTGTGCCTCAATTTCATATGTTAGGAATAAGGGCACATTTTGCATCAAATGGAGTGGTTGTTAACTATTTCTACTACTACATGGCATCTGAAGGACCTCAGCTCATTGTGAGACAAAATTCTCTCTCTTGAAGGCTTAAAGTTTGATGAGATTCAATACGTGCATTCGAATTGCAAATATGCTGTGAATATATATATAAATTCCATGCCAATAGTTTGGTTGGTAACTCCTTCCATCAGACATTCATACCCACATTTCACCTTTCTGTAGTGGATATGTTTTCTATGGTTTTGAGTTGCACTGAAAGATGTGAATGTGGATTGAGGTGATTTCAAATTCGAACTTCAATGGTTAAAACTTTGGTTGTAAATCAATAGAATCAGTCTACCTGTATGGGATATGTGAATCAGGATGAAACTAATGAGCATAAGACCTAATAGTCTGTTTTCCAAGAATACCACCTGAGATTTCTTAACCTCTTTATAGGAACATGAACATTAACATCGTTATGTTAATGGAGTGATCACGAAGCTGAAATCATGGTTTCTATGCGCTCAAAGAGCTGGACAGGAGCAGGGTATCTTCTATGCTTCTCTTACCTAGTAGTTAGCGTGTCAAGTGTCAATATTTCATTTTCTTCTCCCCTGTTTTTCTTTTGACATGGATGATGTGCTTTTAAGGCTTGGGAATGTGTTTTTACAAATAATGTAGCTTAGTTACTTAGACTAGAATTGGACAGTATACACATCTTCAATTTCAAAGCAAAAATATGTAATCAAGTGCAATTGGTTGTATTGTGGTTGTTTTTGAGATATTTTCTCCTGTACATCCCTTATTTCCAAGTGTATGATACTCGCAGAAAAGGCATTGTAAGACATTTCTTGAAAGTCTAGAGAATTTGTTATACCATTTCAGATTATTGCAGAAGCAAGTTTCCAGCTATTCTTTGTCTTAGTTTTGGAGGGAAAAGCTAAGAGGCTAATCTCTTTCGGAAGCAGATCTTCCATATAAACCAGCTAAGTAATTGGCTTGATGGCTTCAAACCAACCATATGTTTGTCCTGTATTCAATTTGGGTAAAAAGATCTAAACACATTCCTGATACAACTATTGTGTTGTGCTCAAAACCAAAAGAGGAGGCTTGTATGACTGAAAAGGAAAAATTAGGGATGGTAATTTGCCTCGTCCCGCTCCGTTTGAGGTGGGGATGGAGCACAAGGTGGAGATTGGGCGAAATTTTTTGGGCGAGGAGGGGACGGGGGGACGGGGAGGGCTATTCTTAGATGTCCATAATTTTCCAACTCCAGAATAAAGTTACACTAACTTGACAAAAAATTCCAAACCAAAACCCAACATGTTAGCTACCAGCTACCTACCAATCCCATTTGTTGAAACCGAATACTTATTAATTTTAATAACGACCGTTACGTTATATAATAGTTGTTATGTAACGATTTTAGAGCATCCCATTATCGTTATTTTTGTATTATAATAAGCTGCGATCCGCGATAGCGATCGTGATCGTTTTTCTAATCATATGCGAGTTAAAACTATTGTTATGACTTACTAGCCTGAAATTGGAAAGCAAATTTTTTTTTTTTTTTGGTTACAGGAAAGCCATAATTTACCAGGAACGCAACAATACTAAAGATAATTACATTGCAAAAGCACAACAATAACAAACAAACACACTGTCACCTTCAACTCTCAAATCATCCTTTGAAATTTAAATCACAAATTGTTGACAAATTGAAATCTTTAGCATATTTATACGTATACGTCAATACATGCCAGCAACCTTACTCAGCAAATACTAGATATTTTGGTGTACATTAGATATTTTTGTTCCGTGATTGCTTGATCTTTATCTCGTTACTACATAACTTTCCAACACAGTGGAACATGTTGATTTGAAGTATGAACACGTACTAATGCGATTCAATTAGAAAACGAAAATGATTCAGTAGCTCAAGCTGCAGCTTCCTTTCAGAATTTAAGAGAGTTGCCGCTTCCCCCTAACAACAGGGCAATTAATCTACAAAAGATTCATAAAATCAATTTCTTACTCCAATTTTCTAGAGCAATTCATGATTAAAGCCACATTTTTCAATACTAAAAAAAAAAATAATGATGATAATAATAATGGAGCATTGCCAAACTGAAACCTATGAAATGAATGCAGATATTTGATTTATCCTAAGTATTCAAAAGCTAAATTTTGGACCAAGGAGATTACCATTCCTATGAGCATTTTCGAGACTCAACTAAGTGATGCTGCTACAGTTCGGCAAGTGAGTTTTAAGATGTCTAGATTTTGTTGAAATAGCAGCACATTCTTTCATCTAAACTCAACCATGCCTCAATTCCTTCTCCATCTCTAATGTTCATAAGGGAAACTAAACATTCCATTTCGGTATCTGTATTACTCACATGATAAGGTTTTTTGAAACCAAAATCTGCTTCATACGTTGGAAAACGGCACCGACTAATTGAGAACATGTAGCCTTCTACCCCATCTTTTCTGAGTGCTTCAGGCATTTCCTTCGTGCCATTGATCCTCATCAAAGATGTATCATCACCAGTAGAAGCTTTTGCGCAATCCTTAATAGTGCTCTTTATTGCATTGCGGACCTCACTTACCAAGTCATGAAGTTGCATCCTGCTCCTGTCATCTGGTTTAAATTACGCAAATGCGTGGTGAACGAAGTTTCCACAAGAATATGGTGGTTTTGTCAGGCCAGTCCTCTCTCGCATGTTAACTGGAAATGCTAGGATGGAAGGCCTCAATTAACCACGTCTAGTTTGAGCCACCCTGACAAGAGTCCTCCATATTGCTGCCACAACCTCCACTCTTGTTGGTTATTCTTCCAGCAACTTTGAGCCATCGGCACTAGCACTAGCAGCCAATTTCATCTGATATAGTTGTACCATTAAACACAAATCTTTTTGCAACAATCTTATTTTCTTCAACTAACCTTGGATTCAGGACGCTGCGAGTACTAAACATTTCTCTTGGTGAGCATAAAGAAGATAATTCAAAACTAGGGTGATGCCCTTTTGTTAGTAGATAAACTTAAATTAATAATTATTATTAGTAGTAGTATGTGATAAGTCTTGGTATTTTAAGAGTTTACGTTATGTTCATGAATGGGATATCAAAAGTCTATCTTGGTGATTAAGATTTATGGCTATATATAGTGAACTTATCATTACGAATAAGATCAGCTTTTCCTATCTTCTAAATTTCAGTCTCTTATTCTTCTCTCTTGTGCCAATAATCTAGTATCGAGCCCCCATTAGAAGAAGATGATGAATTGAGGCATGTTCCCTTTCCAATTTCCTAAACTCACAAAAGAAAATTATGACAATTGGTGTATTAGAATGAAAGCCTTGCTAGGATCGCAAGATGCATGAAAAATTATTGAGAAAGGTTATGAGCAACCGTAAGGTGAAGAAGCCATGGCACGCATGACTATAGCCGAGAGGGAAGCACTCCAAAGGACAAAGAAAATAGATCAACAAGCACTAGCGTTGATTCATATGTGCTTGGATGAAACCATGTTTGAGATGGTTTCGATGCGATAAGTGCGAAACAAGCATGGAAAATTCTAACAAATTCATTTAGAGGAGTTGATAAGGTGATCAAAGTTCATCATCAAACCTTAAGAGCCGAGTTTGAGTCTTTTAAGATGAAAAATTCAGAATCAATTTTAGATTATTTTTCTAGAGTCCCGTCGTTGTCAATCAATTGAAAAGATATGGTGAGAAGATGGAGGAGGTTCAAGTAATTGAAAAAATCATGCGGTCTCTTAATCAAAAATTCAATTATGTTGTTGTGGCTATCGAGGAAGCAAAAGATTTAGAGACCATGATTGTTGATCAACTCATGGGCTCTCTACAAGCTCGTGAAAAATGCATGAAGGAGAAAGAACCACAAGCACAAGTTCTTCTCTCAAAGTCGTCATATAAAGATAAAGAAAAACAAGATGAGACCGAAGAATAGCAAAGAGGAAAAGGAAGAGGCAGAGGTAGAGGTCGTAGAGGACATGGAAATGGTAGAGGAAGAGGCGGATCCGATTATAATTCCTATAATTCGAAGAAACCAATCGGAGATACCCTACAACAAGAGGACGTGGCAGAGGAAATTGGTACAAAAGTGGAGGACGAAGGGCCGATGTGCGAGTGTTATAATTTTAAGAAATATGATCACTATGCCTCTAAGTGCGAAGTTCGAGTCCTAAGGAAGAAAAAGCTTATTGTGCAAAAGGAGAAGAGGAGGAAGAATCGGCTTTCTTGTCGATGGGCAATGAAGAAAAATGCCAAGAAGCACGGTTCTTGGACACAGTGCACAAGCAATCATATGACAAGCAAGAAAGATTTATTTTCCTCTTTAAATGAATCTTTTAAAAGAAGTATTTCTTTTGGAGATGAAAGAAAGGTGACGATTGAAGGAATTGGTGATATTCTAATTCGAGCCAAGAATGGCTCTCATCAATTTATTTCTCAAATGTATTATGTGTCCGCACTCAAAACAAATATCATGAGTTTGGGTCAACTCTTAGAGAAAGGATATGATATTCGATTGAATGATGGTGGACTTGTGATCGAGACACTAGAGACACGCTAATTGCAAAAGTGAAGATGTCAAAGAACCGAATGTTTTCTCTCAAACTTCGTACCGACAAGTGCAAAGTGTTTGAAAGCCTCAACTTCGGATGTCCGTTGGCTTCGGCATTAACGAATAGGTCATCCGAATTTTTCTAGTTTGATGCAAATGCGGAAGGAGAAAATGGTGCATGGTCTACCATTTATAAATCATCCGGATCAAATTTGTGAAGGCCGCATCTACGAAAAACATTTCAAAAATAGTTTTCCAAGCAAATCGATTTAAGAGCATCGGAGCCACTTCAACTTGTACATGCCGATATTTGTGGACCTATTAATCCACTTTCTCTTGGTAAGAACAAATATTTCTTACTCGTTTATTGATGATTTTAGCCGTAAAACATGGGTTTATTTTTTGAAGGAAAAATCGAAGCCTTTGAAACCTTCAAAAAATTCAAGGTGCTGGTTGAAAATCAATATGGTTACTCCATAAAAGCCTTGAGAACCGATCGAGGTGGTGAGTTCACTTCAAAAGAATTTGATAGCTTTTGCGAGTCACATGGCATCGAAGATTCTTAATTGTTCCTAGATCACCTTAGCAAAACGGTGTCGTGGAACGCAAGAACAGAACCATTCTTGAGATTACCCGAAGCATGTTGAAGAGCAAGCATTTGCCTAGAGATTTTTGGACTAAAGCGGTTTCTTGTATGGTATACTTGTCTAACGTAAGTCCTACAAAAAGCTTGACAAAGGCTACACCACAAGAAGTATGGAATGGAAGAAAGCCAAATCTTTTGCATTTAAGAGTTTTTGGGTGCACAGACCTATGTTCATGTTCTAGATGAAGTCGAATCAAATTGGATGACAAGAGTGAGAAACTTGTTTTTATTGGTTGTGATGCCCAAAGGATACATGCTTTATAATTCAAGAACTCGGAGGATTATTGTTAGCCGTGACGTAAAGTTTGATGAAGATGATTGCTGAAATTGGGAAAAGTAAGAGGATGATTACAATTTTCTTCCTTTCTTTGAAGAAAATTCAGAACCAATCGAGTCAATGAACAGTTTATCACACCACCTACAACACCAACTCCTTATACCGATTTGAGCCCTCCTTCAAGCTCTTCAACGACCACCAAGGAAGATGAGAAGTCTTTATGACATTTATACTGAAATTAAGGAGATCAACAATTCCTCTCTTTATTGTCTTTTTGCGGTGTTCCGAACCAATTAATTTTGAAGAAGCTACTCAAGAGGAAAGGTGGAGAATTGCTATGGATGAAGAAATGAATGCCATCCATAAGAAAAAAACATGGGAATTTGTAACGCTTCCAACAAACAAGCAAGCCATTGGTGTTAGATGGATTTACAAAATCAAAAAAAAAATGAAAGAGGAGAAGTAGAAAAGTTCAAAGCTCGTCTCGCCGCTAAAGGTTTCAGTCAACAACATAGAGTTGATTATGAAGAAGTCTTTGCTCTAGTCGCTCGGTTAGAAACCATCGGATTGATCATGGCATGGATAGCTCAAAATAAATGAAGAATTTATCAAATGGACATCAAATCGGCCTTCTTGAATGGACATTTGGAAGAAGAGGTATATCCGCAACAACCTCCCGAATATATTGTCAAAGGAGATAAAGAAAAAGTTTTGAAGCTAAATAAGGCCTTGTACGGCTCGAAACAAGCATCAAGGGCTCGGTACGAGTCGCATTGATGAGTATTTCAATCCAAAGAAATTTGTTAAATGCCCACACGAATATGGCTTTTATGTGAAGAAAAATGAGAATGGTGATATGTTGATTGTGTGCTTGTATGTTGATGACTTGATATTTACAGGTACTAATTCAGCTATGTTTAATGAATTCAAGAAGGAGATGGTTGCTAAATTTGAGATGACATATTTGGGTTTGATGTCTTAATATCTTGGAATTAAAGTGAAGTAAGTTGATGAAGGCATTTTTGTTTCTTAAACCAATTATGCAAGGAAGATTTTGAAAGAGTTCAACATAGAGAATTGTCAATCAATCTCTACTCCGGTTGAATGTGGAGCCAAGTTATCAAGGTTTGATGTAGCTAAAAAAGTGGATCCAACTTTGTATCGACAACTGGTTGGAAACTTGAGATTTCTAACATGTTCAAGAGTCGATATCCTTTATGGCGTTGGTATTATCGGTCGTATATAGAGGAACCAACTACCACTCATTTTAAGGTCAGCTAAGAGGATCTTGAGATATGTTAAAGGTACTTTGGATTATGACTTATTTTATTCATCTTCCGAGAACTCGTCATCCGATTGGTTATAGCGATAGTGATTGGGGAGGAGATGTTGATGATCGAAGAGTACCACAGGTTTCTTGTTCAATCTCGAAAATGCCGCATTCACTTGGAGTTCTAAGAAGCAATCGATTGTAACTCTCTCAACTTGTGAAGTCGAGTGTTTCACCGTCGCTCGTATGTGTTTGTCATGCTATTTGGCTAAAAGAATTGCTTAAGATGATGCAAATGTCACAAAGTTAAGCTACTAAAATTTTTGTTAATAACAAATCCGCCATAGCATTGGGAAAAAAAATCCAATTTTTCATGATAGAAGCAAGCATATAGATACACGATTCCATTTCATAAGAGAGTGCATTAGGAAGAAGGAAGTGCAACCGAAGTATGTGAAGTCACAAGATCAAGTTGTCGATATATTCACAAAGCCTTTAAGTTTGAAGATTTTGCTAGATTAAGAGCAAGTCTTGGTTTAACCAAAATTCAAGTTTAAGGGAGGATGTTAGTAGATAAACTTAAATTAATTATTATCATTATTAATGGTATGCGATAAGTCTTGGTATTTTAAGAGTTTATGGTTATATTCATGAATGAGATATCAAAAGTCAATCTTCTTGATTAAGATTTATGGCTATATATAGTGTACTTATCATTATGAATAGATCAGTTTTCCTATCTTCTAAATTTCAATCTATTATTCTTCTCTCTTGTGCCAACACCTTTCTCAATTCCTATTCGATTGACTTGCAGTAGTCCAACTATTAATAAATGTGAATAATGTGAAAGCATCGACCACCACATGTGACATACTTACACTAATGGCTAGTCTAGCACATTCAAACATGTTGAATTGAACTATTACCGGAGGGTCGTCGTCGGTACAAATAGACTTGGAGCCAATAGATTCCCCAACTTGGTCTCAAGTTCTCCTTTGAGAAGCGCATGTGGCTGCATATGAAGGGCGAGCAGCCACAACTCTACCCACTTGTCATTGCAACCAATCGAGAAGTTGGATTTGTTGTATCTCCCCGATAGACGGTAGAAGATGGTTATGATTTCGATAATGAATTTTGCAATTGCTCACTAATTCTCTAAAAATTATTGACACCAAATTCATCATGCATGAGCGGACGTTTGATAGTAAAAAATGCTCGGTTACAAAGAATGCAAAGAATCGGTCTAAACTTGATATTTTAAGGTTTTTAAGATGGGGTGGAGTTGGAGATGGAGTGATCATTAACTTTCTAGATAAGATTTCAACCTTCATATTGAAAATGCCTCTCGCTGGCCGATAACGAGGAGAAACATTAAAGAGATTGAAGCTTTATGTGATGTTTAGACGCCGAAAATTGCACTTGATGAGCAATGAAATGAGCCACTACCTAACATGGTTAAGCGAGCCAACTCGGGCGTCCAAGCCCTCGTTACATCCCTATAGGATCTTTGTATTGTTGCTTTCCTTTTTTACTAAATGTCAATTTTTTTTTCCACTTTAATCTATTTAAAAATATATTTTTTAAAAAAAATTTAATGAAAGATTTGACTTTTTTAGATTTTTTTTTTTGTAAAAAAATAACGGTAACATAAATAGCTTCATAATAAAAATCATTTAGTAAAATTTATCTAAGACTTTCCAAAAAATTTGAGATCATTATGCATGAATTATTTTTTAGTTTTTTTATTTTATATATATATATATATATATATATATATATATATATATATATATATAATTGTTTTTTAATTCAACAATAAAAATATTATTGAATCTTAATCAAAATTAAATATCGCGTTTCATGATTTTAAAAATATATCTTTCACATTAGTATAATGTATTAGAAAAAATTTAATAAATTTCTTTTTGAACCTGAAAAATAAAAAAATAAAAAGAATTTTTTTAATCAACTTACCAATCTCTTAAAATATTGAATAAAAAAATAGGTATAATAAAACTAATTGTGTAAATTGTTACTATTACTTAGTTAGTTGTGTCGTTTGTGGCATATATATATAATCAAACTTTTTTAAAACCACATTGGACCAAATATTTAATGTATAATTGGTTTATCCGACTTTCCCGTAGAAAGAATACTTTGAGAGCGTTTATTTTCTATTAATTTTTTTTTCAATTGGTTTAACTATCTTTAATATGTTGGATTCGTCGTTAAATTTCATTAAATAATTTAATTAATTTTATATACTAATCTACCTTTTTTTATTTATTTTTTATTTTTTGGAATTCTTAGTTTTATATTTAGAAGCCGAAACTCTACAAGAAAATTGAGCATTTATGTTTGTATTCCTCGCCTCCAAACTACATACAATTGAAAGGAATAAAAAAGTAGTGATTGATCTTCTATCATTTTTTTTTTTTTACAAAAAATTCAATAATAAAAGTAAAATAAAATAAATCACTGGAAAAAATAAAAAACCAAAAACAAAAAACAAAGGGAGGCTCGCTTGCTTGGGCCCGGAGAACCAAGCATGCACGAGCCAGATTTTTTTTTTTTCAAAAAAAAAGTAGACAATTAGTTTCGATCAACTCTAATTGACCTAAAAATTCATTAGAAAATCAAAGTTTTTCGATTTTCGGCCTCCAAAATCAAATTTCAGCTTTTTTTTTTTCAAAACATCTTAAACACACAAAAATAAAGCAAATAAACTTGTTTAAAAGGTCAAAACTTATTTTAACACAAATAAAAACATATAAAAAAAATTAAAATATTTTAAGCCATGATCTATCCTTTCAACAATGTCATAGCTCATTAGCACTACAAATAAATTTTTTCTATTCAGGATGAACAAATTAAAAATAATATTGACGATAAAAATAGCTAAAATAAGACATTGTTATGTCACACTCTCTTATTTCACCTTTTTTTATTCTCTCTCATCTCTATGTTCAAGAATGAAATCATAATACCAATGAAATTTGAAATTGAAATAAAAATATATGAAAAAATTAAAAATTAAAGTGTAATATTTTTAAAAATTTGTAAATTGCATATCAAATGTCTTTAAAAAAACTTGAAAATAACAACAATGCTCTAAATAATGAAAAGAATAATGAGTTGAGCGAGGATTAATAGTGAAATAAATAGTAATTAATGGTTTTGTTTTATTATTTTTTTAATGATTCTTTTTTAGGGGTAAATAAATTGTTTGTAAATAACCTAAACATCCTTAACCCCTTGTTTGGATAGAGTGGAAAGTGGGGAAGAGGAAAGAAAAGTAGAGTGAAAAAAAATGTTTCTCTCGTTTGGAAAGAGGAAGGAAAGCGAGTGGAATGAAAAAAATAATAATAAAGAATGCAAAATCGGTGAGACCCATTTTCCTCTTGGGAGGAAACGGGGAGAAAAATGGGAGGAAAGCCATTTGTTTTTTGTTTTTTCCATTTCCGCCCTTGCCGTCGTTCCCTTATGTTAGAGCTTGAGACCGAAAATTGGGATAGATCGAAGTCGTTTGAGGCTTGTGCATAACCTTTGTGTTGCTGCATATTAAGCCTCGAACATTTCATTTTCTTGCATTTCTTGCTTGTTTCCTCCAATGAATGATCTTGATGTTGGTTATGATTTTTCTCCTTCTTCGGTTGCTTGCAGTCGATCTTGCTTTTGATGCTCGTAATTGCTTCTACTCGCTTTTGTTCCGACTCGCTGCAATTGTGCTTGGAGATCCGACCGTTCATTGCATGAAAGATTATTATATCGGTAGTGGAAGAAAGAAATATGGGCCCCTCGTACTATATTACTAAATTACTAAAAAATATGGGCTGTCCATTTTGTCTAGTAGATTTAATCAGTAGCATGGGAAAGTTGGATGGTCCGTACTATGCACTTTTTTTCTTTTTTCTACTTATCAATATCGAATATTGATGATAAACGAGTTCAATTGATAATTGCTTTGTGACTCCTGTTAGGCTATTACATAAGCAAAAATTTTCGAAGTTCGGAAAAGTAAAATGCTTGTTGACAACATGAAGAAATAAAAATTATTCGTGATTCGTCTCATTTTTTGTGATTCAATTGACTTTTCATGATTGTTCGCAATGTTATCATATACTCTCTTTTTTAATTGCTAAATAGTAATTGGTTATTCTAAAAAAAAACGGAGAAAATAATTGGTAAAAGCAACTAACTTATTATATGCATAGATAATAATACATGTTATACATATTTAAATTAATTTTATGTTGATAATTAATCTAAATTGGCTATTGGATTAATTAATTAATAAATAATTATCGATTATTCTATGGAGACGATTCATTATCTATCTTATCATTTCGGATATATGTTACATGCTAGATTTTTATTTTATTATCATTTGTGTTATTTTCATGAAAAAAATATTCACACAAATTTATTATAAGTATTTAAATATAAAAATATAATTACAGGGGTATTATAGTAAATATAACATAATATATTTTCTTTCCTTCCTCTTTTTACAATTATCCAAACAAGAGAAATGTATTTTTTTCGTTTCCTTTCCACTCTTATCCAAACAAGTGAAAAATTATTTTCTTTCCTCTCTCTTTTCTTTTCTCTCACTTTCTTTTCTCTCTTTTCTTTCCTCCCAAGAGGAATTATCCAAACAAAGGGCAAAGTAGATATATAAATTATTCACAATATAGTACCTCGTAATTTAACATCTTGTAATATAATATATTTTATATAATTATATGTTTTACGACTCAATGAATTTCACACATATCTAGATTCATTCAACCATTTTTTAAACTAAAATGAACTGAGGAATTATCCAACACGCATACAAATAAAACCTATTAAAAACAGCTTAATCCAAAATTTTTAAAATAATCATTTTGATCGATAGAAACTTTTAAATCACACCATTGTTTTGTCAAGAAAACAAAACTGTCAATGTTTCAGAGAAACAACAGCAACAACTAGAAGCAATGACGATAATGAAGCTAGTGTTTCTCTCTTTTCTGCTCTTGTCAACCGCATCTCATGGCTCTCTCGCACTTAGAACGATGCTTCACAGCTTGTCTGAAAGCAGCAACAACAAGAATTACTTGACCACTCAAGAACTCTGGTTTAATCAGACCCTTGATCACTTTTCTCCATTTGTATTCCCCCTCTCTGTTTCTATCTCTTGTTTCTTTCAATTTTGATGTTTCTGTTGAAATAAAAAGAATGGGCTTTTTGTTTATTGTGAGAAAGTTCGTTTCTTCAATGAATATTTGAAGTTTAGTTATTGTTACTGTATTTGCATAATCTAAGCTACCTAAGAAAATATGATAATTGGGTTGAGATTGAGAATGTCTATGTTAATTAATATTTAGTGATGTTAATATGTGATTAAATGATTCATTTAGTGTGGAATTGTAAGAATTAGTTGAAGTGATGTTAATGTGTGATTGATGACTTTGTTCAATTAGATTTTAGGTTTTGTATAAAAATTATTTGTGGTTTTGAAGAATATGAAATAGGTTTTGAAGGACTGGCATTGAGTGTTTGGTGTGGTTTGGTATTTTGCAGGATCATCATAGATTTCTGCAGCGATACTATGAATTTCTTGACTACTTCAGGATTCCTGATGGACCCATCTTTTTGATGATTTGTGGGGAATCGGCATGTAATGGGATTGTCAATGACTATATCAGTGTAAGTTTATAGTCTTAAGTTGCAGTAAAGAATGTTTTGGTTGTTAGTACCTGCCCATGTTTATAGGCAATTTTTTAAGTTCACTGCAAATTGATTGAACCAAATTATTTGTGTTTGTCAATGTTTTTCCATCATCGTAGGACTTAATTTGACAATCCAACTCATAGTTTCTAGGTATACCAATTGGTGAAAACTTAAACCAGACCTTGTTACCTTGTATAGGTTTTGGCGAAGAAGTTTGGAGCAGCTGTGGTTTCACTTGAGCATCGTTACTATGGAAAAAGTTCACCTTTTAAATCAACAACAACAGAGAATTTGAGATATCTTTCTTCTAAACAGGCGCTTTTTGACTTGGCTGTTTTCCGTCAATATTACCAGGCAAGTTGTCACGCGATTTCCTGATTTTTTTTTCTCATCAATATGAGTTGTAGGCAAAGGTAATCTGTATTGAACTCAACCATGTGAGATACCTCATTTTCCTTCAATTGCAGCCAATCCAATACAACAAAAAAGTACAGAGTTGTGATCGTGGAATTTATTAGTCCTGCATTTCCTTTCGCCATGATCAAAATGTAATTTCAATGCTTCATTTTTTATGTATATTTGATATGGTTGGGTTACCTATCTAATCTATTTTGGAACAATATACAATAGCTTGCATTCAGACAAACTCACATGTAAAAAATATAAATATGCACGCTTGGATGCATGAATTTGTTATTGTTATGTCGATGTGTGGGTGTTTGCAAGTATATCAAAGCAAAACCCTCAAATATAGAGACGCAACGTTATTTCTTTCAGATGAAAATTCCCTTATAGATAATTTATAACAGGTTAACATTGCCATATTTATTGGTTTAATTTGTCCGAGTAGCTTTCATAATGGCTCTTCATATGAGTTGAAGTTGTTATTTTTTTTTTCCCAACTCTTTTGAGGTGCACAGTGTTAGTACTGTTCATATGCAGGAATCCCTAAACCTGAAGCTCAACCGAACAAGTGTTGAAAATCCTTGGTTTGTTTTTGGTGGTTCATATGCTGGAGCTCTTAGTGCATGGTTTCGTCTTAAGTTTCCACATTTAACTTGTGGGAGTCTTGCAAGTTCTGCAGTTGTTCTTGCAGTTTACAACTTCACTGAATTTGATCAGCAGGTAAACACAATGTTGATTGTTATCCTGTAACCATGTCCTAATCCATGCTTGCATTTTTAGTTTGATTCTCTTCAGCACATTGAGTTTTAGTTCTTCCTTTTGGATATGTTTCCACGTCCTCAGAATTTTTTCCTGGTGAAATCTTTGGTAAAAGACCTTCTGTCCCTGTCAATTTTATTTAGATTGGTGAGTCAGCTGGTGCTGAATGTAAAGCTGCACTACAAGAAACTACGCAACTTGTCGAGGAAAGGCTTGCATCAAATAAACAAGCAGTGAAGACATTGTTTGATGCAGCTGAGGTTTTATTTTATCCATCCTTATGTCAAAATCTGGCACAATGAGATGAACTACACTACTTATGAAGCTTTATTTACATTTTATCATTTTGAATGTTGACATTTTACCTGTATTTACAGCTTGAGATTGATGGTGACTTCCTTTATTTTCTGGCAGATGCTGCAGCTATAGCGGTGCGTGTGATTTCCTTTTCAGTTTTGCTGACTGATCCTAATGTTTATATTGATAACAATCTACATTGTACAAATCCCAACTAATTTGGGATTGTGGCTTGGTTGTTGTTGTTCTTGTTATTGTAACATCTATGTTGTACTTTCTCAGTTTCAATATGGGAATCCAGATATATTGTGCTCCCCTCTTGTTAAAGCAAAGAACAATGGAGATGATTTGGTGGTAAGCTCCAGTTGTTTACTTGACATCTATCTTCACATACATGTATGGAGCCATTTTTTAAAAAGAAATAAAGAGTATGCTGGTTCAGGATAAACTAATCAGTACCCTTGGTGGTCAAAGCCTGTTACTCCTTGCTTATTCACTGATGACCCATCTAATTCCTGGCCATATCTTTGTTGGTTCTTGCTCTTTCTTAGTAGATAGAAGTTGAGAACTTCATCAATCTTGGTACCTGGAAATGGCAAGATTAAAATATGAATGCAGCAATTGCATTTTGTTGTTCAGAAATTCTTTGATATTATAGATCCTATTCAGTAACTAAATGACAAATTACACTGTCCAGTTTGAGCAATTAATTGACTGTGCTATAGCTTTGGCGAGACTGATTGGTTTAAAGTCCAGCGGATAGCTCATCACACCTCTTTGTCGATGGAGTTTAAACTTGTTGCCAACGATAATTTCCAATCAATTCTACCTGGACACCAAGCATTTCCCTTTATGTAGATTCCAATACCATAGTAAAATCATTCAGCCAATCTCCTAGGAACTACACTACCCCTGCTAAAAATGATTTCAAGACTGCCCTGTCCATTGGCCCTGTGGTAAGGGGGTGTGGTGGAATTAGACATGTTTCGTTATTGGTTACAGGATTGCTTGACTCTAACATCAGGTTATGACAAAGTAATATTTCTAGAAACTCAAAATTTATCCTATTGAACAAACAAAAATTTCCTGCTGCCAATACCTCTAACATACTACCAAAATGTTGAAAAGTATCAATTGTCATGCAAATAATTAAATATCATATATTCTTCCTTTTTATTTTTTTAATCATGGCAACCTAATTTTTGACTAAATGATTAATGATGCCCACATGTGGCAGCATGCCTAACTCCCATGTATTAGGTTGGAGGAATTCCCGCTGCCTATGGCACCGGGAAATGCTTGTTCATATACTGCTTCTATTTTTTGTTACTATAACTGTTATTATGGTTGTTTCTCCCTTCTATGTTCAGCACAGTAATAATTTATTTCTTTATTTTCTTTGAATGGGTCATAATTTAATTCTAATCATAATGCCATTGAGACCAAATGGTTTAATAATGTTACTGATGGACATTTTACATTAAAAAAAAATAATGCAGGAGGCATATGCAAAATATGTTAAAGATTATTATCTTGGAACTTTTGGCTCCACCGTTCAAACATATAATCAGAAGTATTTGAAAGACACTTCTCTCAATAAACATACTGGTGATCGATTGTGGTGGTTTCAAGTTTGCACTGAAGTAGCATATTTTCAAGTGGCACCCTCAAATGATAGTATTCGCTCTTCAAAAGTCGACACAAGGCATGCTTTAAATTATCTACTATACACTATTATGTTTCTCCAAGTATCTTTAGACTCTCCATATGCTTCTTGTGTGGTGTTTATTATGCTCCTTTTCTGTGTGAGCTCGCTTTAAACAATTGTTGGCTGTATATGTTGCAGATACCATTTGGACCTTTGTAAGAATGTCTTTGGAGAGGGTATCTATCCTGAAGTTGATGTAACAAATATATATTATGGAGGCACAAATATTTCAGGTCCAGAATTCACCTTTGTTTTTTCATCTTAAATTTTTTACTCTAAATCTCTGCACAAGAATTTTTCGTCTCTTGGAGATGGGAGTGATTGTTTTTGCACAAACTCCGAGTATCTAGTCCAGAAGTAAAGGTCATATATACTGGATAGTAAGCCAAGTGGACACTACAGATCATTCATGGGGTCGATTGTCAAGAAAATTGCCATTAACTATGTGTATTGTATCTTGCAGGTTCAAAAATTGTTTTTGCAAATGGATCTCAAGATCCCTGGCGCCATGCATCAAAACAGACCTCATCCCCAGATAGTGAGTATGCAATTACTTGTTTGAGAATTTGATCCTGGATAAATAAGGGAAAAAGCAATTGCTTTGGTGGGAAATCATTTTTTTCCCAAGTGGAAACTGTAGCATTGTCAAAAATACCTTTACTTGGAATAATGTTTAATCAGTTCTTGGGCCACCTGCTAACACTTAATTTCTGAGTGGCAATTAGCATCATCCTTCTGCGGTTGGAGTGTCTGAAAGTCTGGTATTACTACTCTTTTGGTTTCTAGATTAGTCATTTGTACTCAAATGGCTTAATGACCCATGCTATGCAGAACTACGACTTAATGTTGCATGTCATAACATCTAGGGAATGTATTTATTTGAATGCTTTTTCTTGCTCACTGAAATGCTTCTTTTAAACTTTTCAGTGCCTTCCTTTTTAATCTCTTGTCAAAATTGTGGTCATTGTACTGATATTCGAGGATGTCCACAGACTCCTTTGAGCCTTGAAGGTATGTGTTAGTTTGTGCTTGCTATTATCACACAAGCAATTCACAATTTCTGATAGCTGTTAAAAGCCTTTCATATGGACCATAAAAAATTTACACTGCTTTTAATAAAATGTACGTTGGATTATTGTTTTAAATAGCAGAATGTGGTTGTAGAAACAATCGCAATTGCAATTGCAGGTCGCAACTTATCGTAATAGTTAAATAACGGTCACGGCAATCGATATTGTGAATGTATCAGCAACTGCTAATAAATTTATTTTAATTTGCACATTTTTAACGGTTTTTACAAATTAAGCATAATAATATCTCTAACAGTTTAATATCACACAAAAAATAATAAAATACATTACAACTTCAAAATACAAATTACAAAATATTCATTTGTTAAATAGCAGCAATAGCGACTAGCGACTGTTACATAATAAAACACTTCTGATAGAATGCAACCAAAATTCAAAGGCTGCAACAAAGGCTGGAAAAAAAGGGACTCACTTGGATAGGCAGGCTACCAAGGCTAGGAAAAAAAAATTAATTTTTTTTTAATATAGCTATCAATATCTTTTAAATGGAGGAAATAGTGGCCGTTACCGTTTTATAATGTTGTTGTTGCCACTATTTGTGTGAAACATCTATAAAGTCCCTATAACAGCAAATAACGGTAATAGGTGTGTTTGATACCGTTATATAACGGCCGTTTCGTAACAGCTGCTATTTCAAACTACACATCTGATAGCTTTCCTTTGAATTATGCAGGAATACATATCCTTGGCTCGTCCTATTTGTTGGGAATTGCTTTATGGTTTAATTTCTCATATTTTCATTTTATGTTACAGGGAATGCTCAGAACTGCAGTTCCCCTGAAGCAGTGGAAAAGGTGAGGCATCAGATCATAGAAAAGATGGACTTGTGGCTCTCTGAGTGTCATGCTAGTGGTGGTTGGAGTTCCATGTAATCCTATTTATAGCAGAAATACTTGCTTTTTTTTTTTTTTTTTTAACTATTTGTGATGTACAGCTGACCAGAAACAGCCAGTCTCTATGTTGTAAAATGGAAAGGAAAGAAAAACTAAAAATAAGGGGACCATCTTTGGTCATAACAATGTTTTCTCAGACCCAAATGACCTTTGTTTGAATGTAGGGATTACTCATCTATAATTTGTTTGTTTGTAGCACTAACAAAGAAATTTGTTTCTTTGCCTAATATTCGTGAATGCCTTACTATTTTGAGCCTGCTGATTTGCATTTTCAAGTTTTATTAAGCTTTGTTGTTGGCAATGCATGATACACAATTAGGATGTATTTGGTATGCTGAGCAGACAGGATAGAACAAGCTATTTATTGTTTAGTGCATAAATTGAACAGGACAGGACAAGCTGTGTGGTGCACATTGTGGACAGGCTAAGGGCTAAAATTCTGATTTCAAATCAAAATTTGAGAATATAGTGTCGTTGGGAAGGTTTTGTAAAAGAATCTCGTTTTTTGGAAGTGGAAACTTCATTTCTGCCATAAAAGCATTCAAGGGCATGTAGTTAATAACTAGTCGCAATTTTCCGTGCACTTGCTCAGTCCTTTTATTGACATAAAAAGCTTGGCAAGCCCACCAAGAAGATTTGTCTGCAACAGTACTTGGGGCTTGTAATTAAGCAAACTCTGTTTCCGTAAGAGCAAGCAAGTCTGGTTTCGCGTACGGATGTGTAACTTTGGTTGAGTTGATATCTTCATTCTTTTTAAAAAGAAGGGTGATAAAAAAGTCAGCGTTTCTCCACAAAAGATAAGGGCATTTGGCAAGGACTTCTGTGTGGGATTCAGCATAATAGAAAAGTCAAAGATTATGTTCTGGGTGAAAAGTTCAAAGATCTCGATAGAAAAGAGGTTGGATATATTTGTCCATGAAAGATTATGGTTTTTGCAGATCAATCCTCGAAATTGCCTAATAAGATCAAATCCTTTTTCATAAGTTGATCCCGCTTGCCTTTTTGGGAGCACAATTTAGCAAAATGGCCTTTCTTGCCACAAATATAACAATGATCAAATTTCTTTAGACCATGTCGCTTCTTTTTTTTTAAAAAAAAAAGAACTTTCATTTAGGTCTGCAAAATTTTCCAGATTTGAATTTATGCTTGCTTCTTCCATTTTCTTCATGCTTTGAACGATCATCATGTTTCTTTGGACACTTGATCTGCAGATCTGACTCTGAACATACCTTACCAAATCTGAGCCTATCCAGCCATTGGAGGAAACCCATCTGGTTGCATAGGGCGTCTGACTTTTTGAGAATAGTCAGGAATAGCAGTCCAAGAACGGTGTCGACCAACTGAATATTGACAAAAGACAAGAACCTTTTTGTCTCTTTTCCAAGGTGATTCAGGAAGAGAGTTGAGAAAAACGTACGTATTTAAGATTAACATCATCTATGCCTCCAATGACATAATACCATTTGGACATTTCAACAGACTGCCTTTCTGGATTGTTGATTTTGAAGGAGGTATTCCTGTCGAACTTGAGTTTGGTAGTCTATCCATTCGCCAAGAAATTCTCTGTATAGACCGCCAATGAAATCATCTGCTGACATCTGCTTCATCATCATATTTAGCGATATTATCCAAGACTCAACCAATATTGATGAAGTCGTCCTTGAAATCTTGCCGTAAACTTCAGATAGAGAGTGACCAGTCTCAATCCATGTTGCAGATAACCAGACATGGAACTCATAAAATCGATCCCTCCATTTTCCAACAGGAATTTCCTCCAAATTAAATTCTTTACTTTGATATATTGACATTCTACGAGTTCGTAGGAAGATTTTCAGTAAACATATTATCAAAGTCTTCTTGGTCTTAAGGATCTTTAGCATGGGATAGGAATTCCTTGGTGGAAAAAAAAAAACAGAAGTTTCTACCAAGTGCATAGCTTAGAATAGAGTTGCCGGATTTTTTCAGAAATATGATAAATCATTTTTCTTCAATTTTCTCTATTTGCTGGGCAAGAGCACTTGTCATTTTGTTTTAGGCAAAAAAATTCTCTGATTGCCAATTTAGAATAGTATCCGAAGGAGACTAGAATACTTTTGTTATGCCATCAGGATTTTTGGCAATGGAATTACAAACCTTCCATACTTGTTCGGTTTTTTACTTTTTCCCTGGAAAATAATAAAATAGTGGGATAATAATATTGGTTTGTATTAGCAATGATGTAAATATTTTATCCATATAATGGCTTCTATCATCTGGTTTGTACTCTTGTTTTTAGCGTCATGGCTTACGTTATCCAGTTTGTACCTTAAAGTTATCTCGAAGGTAAAATTCTTATTCTAGCTTGGAGGATGGAACAAGCTTGTCTTATTTTCAAAAACTACTTGACTCAGATCAGGTAAGTCTAGATGCTGTTGGTTTTTTGTATTCGTTAGAATCCTGTGAGCTTGTAACAAATCCAAATGATAGATTTGTTCTTGAAGAGATATTCTTCAAATTCACTTTGTCTTACAAGGACAAGAAAAGACACATAGGCAAAAACTAAAATACACGAGATGAAGAGCAAATTAGACACGATCATGTGCCTCAGTTCAGCAAGCCATTTATCATCAGCTCTCCAAGGCTTCAAACCGTGTGAAACAAAAGAGCAAGCCATATGCTTTTTTCAAACAAGACATGTGTTCATGTTGGGCTACCATGTGTTTGTTGTAATCCTATTTTGTGCTATAAATAAAGAAGTTAGAGTTTTATATTGATTGATATTTCATCTCACCCATCACACCACTTTTGTAACCAAAATCTTTCAACTCTTAAAAACCCTTTCTTGGTTGAAAAAAAGTTGAAGCCTTTGGTAAAATTAATGTGAGATCTAAATGGATTTTATCTCTAATCTTATTCTTTTAAACATTTTATTTTGTCTATGTTATATAAATATAGTTGTACGATTGATTGATTAGAGTGTATGCTAGTTGATTAATCATTATAATCTATTGCTAGCTAAGTATTCAACTCTATAATTGCTTGTCTAAACTTGCTTTGGGTAGCAACTAGGGGTTAATGATTATAAATGGATTTTCGTTTAATTTCTTAGAAAATATAAAGCTAGATTAAATTCTTCTAACATCTAGGAGGGTTGTTTAGCTCCACCTATCTTTTTATTAATCAATTTATTATTGAATTAAATCTAACTAACGTTTATTAGATTGTTTAGTAGCTAAGGATTAATCAAATAATGCTATTTGGTTAACAAATCACTAAAGAAAGATTGAGAATAACATACATGTTATTTTATGGTAGATATTCATAATAAAAATAGATTAATATTTGAATCGATGATCAATGATTGAACTAAAAGTGGAAACCAACCTTCAACTAAAGCTTCTATTATTATTGTTTATCTTCTTACTTAGTGTTGATTTTCCTTACTCCTTGCAACAAACAAAAACTCCCTTCTTTTACTTTGTTTTGAAACAATCAAACAATAAAGAGAAAATTGATTGAACCAATTCTCTGGGATCGACCCTTGCTTGCCTTAGCTATAGTCTTGTGATTGGGTTCAATAAGGAAAATAAATATATCAAATTTACCGACAGAGCGACATGCTGTCACTCCCACAAATTTTGACGACCCCACTAAGGAGTTGGTTATTGTGAAAAACTATGACCTTTATTCAAATTAAGACTTTCTTGTCTTGCTTTCTGTGAGGTAGACTGATTTGTCTTCTTTTATATTTTATCTTTTCAATCATAAAATTTATGAGGGTGCTACACTTTTTTTTTCTTAAAAAAAAAAATTAAAACAAAAGAGTCAGATGATATGTTCAATAAAGAAGCAAATTGAATTATTTAATCTTTAAAATTAAATTATCAATCAATATAATCAACAAAATGCAATTGGTAGTTTTTTTTTCCCTAGTAAACAAAGAAGCAGTTAAAAACTCAATCATTTTCAATAAACATATCTTAAATATCAAATTTTATGCGGAGAGGAGATGCGTTTTAAAACTTGAATTTCAAAATATATAGCCTCACACACTCCACATACCATAAAAATAAATTTATGATTTTATGGTGATCACGAGAAATCGTTGAAAAGTATTCAATCCCTGGAATCTGAGTTTTTATCGTCAAGCCACTTCTTATAATGACCAATGATTTGCCATTTTTTGTTTGGACAGTTTTCCAAACATCATTGTTGCTGTACTAAGATACATTTACTTTTGGACAAATAAATAAATAACATTACTGCATTCAGAAGCTAACCATGATTTATAGCTACATCCTCGTTCTCGTTACCAAATCTGTAGATATAATTTAATTATGTGTTATTTGGTTATTAGAAATAAAGTGTTGAGGATGAAAATAAAAATAAAAGCTTTATATCCAGCTTCTAGTTATTCAGTTGAAATGAATGAATTAATAACAGAAATAAAAATTAACTATAGTTGTATTTTCATATAAAAAGTAAGAATAAAAATGAAAAATAAAAATAATTTTTTTAAAAATAATAATAATTGGATTAATTTTTTATAATATATATTATTGTTATTATTATATTGTTATTACTATTACTTTCTTCTCATCCTCTTACTTCACAATCACCACCATCACAACTACTGCAATCACCTTTATAATTTTTAATATCACCATAATTGATTAAATTATTTTTTATTTTTATCCATATTAAAAAGTTAGTCATTAAAAAAATTTAAATTTCATTTCGATTTCTTATTGTTATTTCGGACATAGTATGAGAATGTAAATATTATTCTCATTATCTAATTTTCTTTTTAATTTCAGCATTTTCATTCGAGATTTTTTATTTCATTTTTATTCCAATATAATATAAGAATACATTTTAATTCATTAAATAAATTATTAATAAACTTACTGGTTCGATGATTAATTCAATTATTATTATCAAAATAAAAAAATAAATTTATAAAGTAATTACTGTATAGTTTATATATATATATATATATATATATATATATATATATATATATATATATATATAATACTAAAATAGATGCTTAAATAAACTAAACTATTAACTAACTAGCTGTAATAAATAAATAAACTTCCAACAGGTTTGCGATTAGCCAAATAATTTTCTCTAACAAACCAAACGAGAATTCCTGACCCGTGCCGGAAAAAATCCAAATAAATCCACTCATAAATTTTTATTATCATGTAATCCCCCCATAAATAAATAAATAAAAGAAGCTAAACCCTAAAAAGTGTAGAAAATCAAAATACCGAAACACAATCAAACAAAGAGCACGTGTTTTCGGCCAGACCCTATATATAGGGATTGGAGCCTATGGCAACTCCTAAACTAACAGACGCAAAGGCACCTGACTTGTTATTGCTTTGGAGCTAAGACGAGAATCTATTCAACTTTGGGTTTTAATCACCAACAGAACGAGAAACAGCAACAAGAAGCAGCAATGGGAATAATGAAACTGGCTTTGATATCCATGTTTCTCTCTTCGCTGCTTTTCTCGACAGCATCTCATGCTTATCTCGCTCCTCGTACGTTGCTTCACAGCTTGTCTAAAAGCAGCACCAACGGCAACCGTTCCTTGACCACTAAAGAACTCTGGTTTAATCAGACGCTTGATCACTACTCTCCATATGTATCTCTCTCTCTCTCTTGTTTTCTTTTAATTTTGATGTTCTCCGTCAAATTAAAATATATATAAAAAAGGGTTTCCTGTTTAAAGTTTGGAGTTTATTTTTTTCCTTAAAAATGGGTTATTGTTAAAGTTTGTTTCCTTAATGATTATTTCAAGTTTACTTATTGCTTCTATATTTGCATAATTTAAGGCACTTACGAAAGTTGGGTTCTTTATAATTAATTGTTTACTGATGTTAATGTGCAATTAAATGGTTCATTTAGTGTGGAGTTCCAAGAATGAGTTGAAATGATTTTAATATGTGATTGAGTGATTCTGTTCTCTTAAAGCTTAGGTTTTGAAGAAAATTCTCTGTGGTTTAAAGAAATCTGAAATTGATTTTAAGGATTGGCATTGATTGTTAGGTTTGGTTTTGTATTTTGCAGGATCACCGTAAGTTTCAGCAGCGGTATTATGAGTTTCTTGACTACTTCAGAATGCCTGATGGACCCATCTTTCTGAAAATTTGTGGAGAATCTTCATGCAATGGGATAGCCAATGACTATATCAGCGTAAGTCTTTCGTAGTTTTTGAGGGTCTTTTGGTTGTTAGTACTAGAGTCAATTTTTAATAAAGTGCATGGCCTATTGAATGGGGAGCAAATTATGGGCTTTGTTGATGTTTTATCACTGTGGGGGTGCATTGTTGATTTACAACCCAGCAGTGTACTAGGTGTGCTAAATTGATGAAAATTTATATTAGACCTTCTTGTTTTATATAGGTTTTGGCGAAGAAGTTTGAAGCAGCTGTGGTCTCACTTGAGCATCGTTACTATGGAAAAAGTTCACCCTTCAAATCAACAACAACAGAGAATTTGAGATATCTTTCATCTAAACAGGCGCTTTTCGACTTGGCTGCTTTCCGTCAGTATTATCAGGCAAGTTGTTGTGCCATTTCCTGAACTTTTTCTTTTTCACATCAAGAATATTTGCAGGTAAAGGCATTCTGTATCAAATCTGACTATGTGCTTTTCGTCATTGTCCTTCAAATGTAATCTATCCTATCCAGTGAAGAAGTTCAGAGTTGTGGTTGTGGAATTATTCTAGTCCTGCATTTTCATTTTGCTCCGACCAAAATGTAAATTTCAATTCTCCATTTTTTTCGGACCTTGATTGGCTCCAGTTATCTTTCTAATTCATCGCGTAACAATCTACAAGAACGTACCTGTGGACTGGGATGAATCCAGGTTGTGGCATCTGCCCCACCCACCCCCACCCCCCGCCCCACCGCCCCCCCCAACCAACAACCAAACTTGTCCCTACTTGGAGACAATCTCACATGTTAAAATATAAATATGCATGTGCAGGAATACATGAATGTAGTATTGTTGTGTCTGTGTTTTGGGCATTTGCGTGCATGCCTAAGCAAAAACTTGAGATGTAAAGAGACAACATTATTTATTTGCGATGCTAATTCCCATATGCATAACAGGGAAACTTAGCCATGCCTACAGGTTTAAATTTGTCACAGAAGTTGTTGTGATGGCTTTTCATTTGATGTTAATATTTTCCGATTCTTTTGAGGTGCATGGTGATAGTTCTGTTCTTTTTGCACCCAGCTCTTATTTCTTCTTTTATTATGCTTTCTAATGCAGGAATCCCTAAATCTGAAGCTCAATAGAACAGGCGTCGAAAATCCTTGGTTTGTTTTTGGTGTTTCATACTCTGGAGCTCTTAGTGCATGGTTTCGTCTTAAGTTTCCACATTTAACATGCGGGAGTCTTGCAAGTTCTGCAGTTGTTCTTGCTGTTTACGACTACACTGAATTCGATCAGCAGGTAAACACAATATCAACTATGCATACTGTAATCATTTCCTGATGCATGCTTATGTCTATATTTTGATTGTCTTCAGTAGATTGGTTTTTGGTACTTTGTTTTGGAGATGCTTCGACTTTTCTGTCCCTTACCGTTTTATGTAGATTGGTGAGTCTGCCGGTGCTGAATGTAAAGCTGCACTACAAGAAACTACGCACCTTGTAGAAGGAAGGCTTGCATCTGATAAAAAAGCAGTGAAGGCCTTGTTTGATGCAGCTGAGGTTTGTTTTATCAATCCTTTAATAATACACACAAAATACTGAGATGAACTCCACACTTCATGAGACTTTCTTTACACTGATCTTCTATGTTCACATTTTATGTGTATTTGCAGCTTGACATTGATGGTGACTTCCTGTATTTTCTGGCAGATGCAGCAGCTATAGCGGTGTGTGTGATTTTCTTTTCATTTTTGTTGCCTGGTATCAGGTCTTCATATTAATGATGTTCACGATCCTAACTTTTCAGTTTCAATACGGAAATCCAGATAAACTATGTTCCCCTCTTGTTCAAGCAAAGAAGAATGGAGAGGATCTGGTGGTAAGCTCCAGTTTCTTTTCCTGACATATATTTCAGTGGTCAAAGTCCGTTACTCCTTGCTTATTCACTAGCGATCTATCTAATTCTTGATCCTGTCTTTCTTGGATGTTGCCTTTCCTTTTCTTGTGGATGTCGTCATGTCGAGAACTTTATCAATCTCAGTGCTGGCAAGATCAAACTATAAGATGTGGTGATTGTATTTTGTTGTTTACAAATATTGTTGATTGCACATGGCATCCTATTCAGGAACTAAATGATGAATTAAACCATCCAGTTTGAGCAATAGTTGGCCATGCTGCAGCTTTGGCGAGTCTGATGGATTCTAAGTCCAGTAGATAGCTCATCATACTTCATCTTATATGCTGTATAAAAAGGTTGCCCATGATAATCTCCAATCAGTTCTACCTGGACATTAAGTATTTCCCATCAAGTAGACCTGAATAGAATTATTGGGTTAACTATACCCACGGAAGTTGCCTTGCTAAAAATGTTTTCAAGACTGCCCTTGTACACTGGCTACAGTGGTAAAGGGGTGTGGTGGCTTTAGTATAGGTTAATTTATGTGATTATTGGTTTCCTTTTTATAATGATTCTACCTTTTCTGTTCAACATAATGAATTGGTGGTGATTAAATTCATTGGCAAATCATGGGGCCATCTCTCCCTAGTCCTTAGTTGTTAATATGCTTCTAATGTAACTTCAAAAAACAAATGCAGGAGGCATATGCAAATTATGTTAAACAGTATTATGTTGGAAGTTTTGGCGTCAGCATTCAAACATATGATCAAAAGCATTTGAAAGACGCTACTCTTAATGAGAATACTGGTGATCGGTTGTGGTGGTTCCAAGTTTGTACTGAAGTAGCATATTTTCAAGTGGCACCCTCAGATGATGGTATTCGCTCATCACAAGTTAACACAAAGTATGTTTTTGTTTGTATGCATTCACATGACCAATGTGTGTGTTTAGACTATATTGTTACGTTGTTTGGTTTATGATGCTCCTTTTGTGTGCAATCTCAGTCTTCAGAATTGTTGGTCATATATGTTGCAGATACCATTTAGACCTTTGTAAGAAGGTCTTTGGAGAAGGGATCTATCCTGAGGTTGATGCAACTAATTTATATTATGGGGGCACAAATATTGCAGGTCTGTATTTTGACTTCTCTTTGTCTCTTTCCTTGAATAGTTTTAATTCTTGTCTCTGCGCAAGGATCATTTCTCTTGGAGATGGAGGTGCTTGTTTTTGCACTTGATCTCTGAGTATGGCCTAGAAGTAAGGCCATATTTACTAAATAAAAAGCAAATTTTGAAGAGAGAAGCATTTGATTTCTGAAATGATTATTTCATTCAGAGATGGATTTAGCCCCACAAACAACCCCCCCCCTCCCTCTCTCTCTCTCTTTCTCTCTCACACACACACAAAAAGAAAAAAAAAAAAGAAAGAAAGAAACCCACACTGACACTGAAAGCCTTAAATGTAGCAGGTTCAAAGATTGTTTTTACAAATGGGTCTCAAGATCCCTGGCGCCATGCATCAAAGCAAACTTCATCTCCAGATAGTGAGTTTCTGATTACTTAATCTCTTTTGTGTGATTATTTTTTCATCATCTTTCATGATCTGGCGTGTCTGAATGTTTGGTATGAGTATTACTGCTGTTAGTCATATGTTCATCATTGGCTTAGTGACTCAATACGCAGAACTACCATGCAAACATTAAGTGTAATAATATTTTGGGAAATATCTGCATAATCATGCTCTTGCTTGTTCACTGAAATGCTTCTTCAAACATTCCAGTGCCTTCCTTTGTGATCTCTTGTGATAATTGTGGTCATGGAACTGATATGCGAGGATGTCCACAGTCGCCTTTCAACATTGAAGGTATGTTTTAGTCTGTGCTGGCTATTAGCTTATAAGAATTATGGCACAGTATGTTTGATTGTCATCTCAAGCAATTCAGATAGCGTTAGAAGCCATTAATATGGACCTTAACAAAAATTGGACTGCTTTTCAACAATAAAATGTATATCTGATAGCATTTTTAATAGCATTCCTTAAAATTATGCTGGAAATCATATCCTTGTTTCTTGTTCCTTGTCCTGTTTGCTGGGAATGGCTTGATGCTTATCAACTGATATTGTTATTTTCAACTACAGGTAATTCTGAGCATTGCAGTTCCCCTGATGCAGTGGAAAAAGTAAGGCATCAGATAATAGAAAATATGGACTTGTGGCTCTCTGAGTGCCAAGATAGTGGTAGGAGTTCCATGTGAAGCTATTTATAGAAGAGACACGTATGTATAACATGGCTGCTTAACTAACCTTTATCTCATGTATTACCTTCTTAACAGATGTTTAGTTCCGGATATATGAAATACATTTCCAACACGATTGTCATTTGTCTTCCCCGAAACCCAAATGTGTAGCAAATGGCTGTTACAATCAAACTTGTTTTATTTATTCTCTAAATGTTCCTTTCCCTTCTCTTCGTTAAGTGTGACAGCCAACTACAGTGAAGAGCAGCCATTGCAGAAGTAGGAGGAATTACAACTGTTGACATCTTCAACCTTTCCTGTTGTCAATCTTTTTGTGCTATCGCTCTGCTTCGGCCTCTAGCTTTTCCTGCAGTTTGCGGCTCTGATTGGAGATGGCTTTCTCTAGTGGTGTCTCTGGCCTTTTTGCTGTCTTTCGGCTCTACTTGTGTTATGTAGTGCTGCTATTTTTGGCTGATCCTCCTCGTTTCTCAGTTGTCTCTGATCCTGAAGGGGTGTGTCTCTGCTGCTGCAGCCTTTTTATGCTGTTGCTGCAGATTTGTATGCTTTGGGTAGTGGCTGTTTGTGTTTGATTTTGCTGCTGTTCCGGGGCTGTGGGTTGGGTGCTTTGATATTTCTAAGCCCAGGTGCTTAATTTTTTGGCTCTTTGGCAGCTGAAGGGCATTTTTTTGGCTCTCTTTCTAGCTTGCTTGTTGGTTCTGGGCTGTGTAGCGCAGCTCCTGTACTGGTGGCTCCTTTAGCCTCTTGGAGTCTCCTTTTCTTTTCCTCTTTTTTTTTTTTTTAATACTGTCTCTTGGCTTGTCAAAAAAAAAAAAAAATCTTTAAACTTCCTTTCACTGCTCCCAGTTAGTTCATGGGTCGAAACCACAATTAGGCAGGTATGATGTAAAGCTGGCGAAAACCGAACAGTCTTGATGTTGAAAATTGAAATGTTAAGTAAAAAAGAAAGGAAGAAGAGAATCAGTGATGGTTTTTGTTTCCGTGGACCCGAATGACCTTTGTTAAATCCTGCGTTGCTCATTTATAATTTGTTTCTTTGCCAAACATTTGTCAACGTGAGGTGTTGTTTGGATGCAACTCCGAAATCTTTTGAAGCCCGCTGTATTTGCTTCCCTCAGAAATATGGAATTAATGTCATTTAAGTCTCATTGAACCTGTAGTTTTAAGTACCAGGTTTTAGGTCTCTTTAAGTTGATATTGATTTGCATTTTTCAGGTTTCACATCTAACCCTGTTGTTGGCGTGGATAATATTTCAATGATGGCTTATGCATAACTCAATTGCATGTTATGATTCCTATCTTCTGCAACTCTTAGCTTTGAGGCCCTTGTAATCATTGATAGAAGTTCTGTGCCCACCGTTCACCTTTAGCCTACCCTAAGCTTCGTAGTCCTGATTTAAAAGCTGAGTGATCAGAACTCAGAAGTTATATTCACTTAATTGTAGCAATCCGTCAGCATTTAGAACTCCACATTTCATAGATTTAATATTGTTTTTTAAGATATAATGGCTACGCAAATTCTCCATATCGTGAATTATAAGTCACTAGGAAGTGCAAGATACGAACAAAAAGGATCTCCTATAAGGATAAGCCAGAGAAGGGGTTTACGATCAAGGTGTCCACTTCCGAATTGGTTCCCACAATCTAATAGGAATAGTATTTTACGTACATTCCTTTCTTGGCTTCATTAGAATCTCCTTCACCTGTGTATTTACCCAGCTGAGCCAGAGAGTTGGCCTTTGCTCTAGTAAGCAGAGCGTCTTGAGCTGCCTTCACATTCTCAGGTCTGCCTTCCCATGTCTTGAGCAAGTGTTTTGAAGGGCTTTTGCATACGAGAAGGATACATGCCATGGGAGCTTGGTTCGTTGCATTCAAGTTTAAGGTAGCCTCCACTTCACATTGCCCACCTGACAAAAACTGACCAACATTACAAATTCAACAATTTAGCAACTAAACCAGTGGTAAGCGTATGCATGGATATTCACTCATCATCCAACTCTCAATTCTTAATAATTATGTGACTGCAATCATAGATTTTACTTTCTACGCTTAGAACCATTGAAAAGGAGTGGATCTTACCTTGTCAACCTTGAACAATATTTTGCTCAACAAGCACATCAACCATTTTCTTCCCATCAGTGATGGATTGGTAGAGAGTCTCCTCAAAGAGAGTGGCACCTGAAATGGGAACAGTAACAAGCAGTGTCCTATATACCTGGCGATTAGCCTCAGTGTTCTCTAGACCAATAGAGGCTAGAGCTAGACGCTTTCCTCAAGTAGCATTAGACTCATCCATGGCCAATATTCCACGGCCAGTAGAATAGGAGATACAACAGTTTTCTCACATAATTCAACAATTTCATAATCGTTTAAAAGCCTGTTCCTGAATTCTGGTATAGTTGTTGTGAAAAAAGCTGAAATTTATTGCTCAGCTTCCTGTCAGAACTGAATTATGACTCGTATGTAGTTGCATTCTTAAATCAAGCCTCATAATTACCTTACAAATCTGTCAGATAGAGAACCTAGAGCAAACTTCCTAAGACTGTACAAGCACTGAATATCAGCCGTGCGTATAAACACATATACATGAGTTGAGCCGTGTGCTTGCCTCTCAGCTTTTAAATATGCAAGGTAAAGAAAGTGACCAAACTATAATGCACGATGCGTTAACAGTTAACACATATCGCAGTCTTGACAAGCTCATCAGCATATGAACTAGCACCAACTGAGAGTGCAGAGGGAGCAACCGAATGGCATCTAACCAAAGAGACCGAGGGTTTTGCTAATGGTCTGGCCCTTGAACCATTCTGACTTGTCTACAACTGGGGAAATCTTGAGGGGACAAGTGGAGGCCATTTTAATTTCTATCAAGGCTATGAGAATGAAGTTCTAATGTACTCTCCTCCTCCTCTCTTTGCCTCAAGCTCCCCCTGTGCTCTGTTTAACGCAAACAACTCCGTCCAGTTCACAGTATTAATAGTTCTACTCTGATATCGCATTTGAAGCTGTGATGCAATGGCCAATCAGTGGCTGCCCACTCAGGTGATAATTGTTTTGTTCGTCAAGATGTTCATGTGGCTGATGTGGGACTTCTTCGTTCTTGTGGTACAACGTAAGCCTGCAAAATTAAGGGTTGGGTCTTCTCAAGTTTGTAAAAGCAGAATAATTTGAATTCATTCCTATTAAGCTAACAGGAAACTTAAGATCTATTGAGGGTTGATTGATGACTTCCATGTTAGTGAAACTATGGAATTGGTTGCTTCTCTTTCTTTTGGCCATTCTGCTGGATAGCACGTCTCCTAAAAGGCAAGATTTACAGAACTACTTGGCTTCCAACACTATAAATTGTGTTGAGATCACTCACTCTGATCTAAGTACGGGAAAAATGTGCTATGCTGCAGCAGTATTCATACAAAATCTTTATAGAAAGGGAAGTTATAAGTTCATAATTCTGTACAGGTTAATCATAATCCTGCAATCTGCAAACGAATGTTTTCACCTACAGCAAAAATCAATTACAGATTGGTTATAATTATGCGTACAAATGCCAAGTTGCAGATATTCGCGAGATGGACCACTGAAACCAGGAAAACTACTGCTACGAATCAAATCTCTACCTTCAAATCAATCTATGAGACAACAACGGACTGGTTTAGTTTCTTCTTGGAAAAATAAATGTGTCGCCACTAATAAAAGTCCACAGAGCAAGGAGCAAAGAGCAAATCACCCTACTAAGACATGGCAGGAGCCTTTTGTCAAGAGACCAACAATGGTCCATAAAGATCCTCGGGATCATGGAGTTCAGGGCTACCAAAAACGAAAATTAGACCATCCTCAACACCCAATTGCTGGGACACCTTACAGCAGCTTAAGTGAACTAGTCGACGACAAAAGCTCTTACATTGATGAAAATATTTTACCCCCAACCCACATTTCCCTCAATCATGCTTATGAGAAAAAAGATTCCTCAATAATTCCGCAAGCAATTCCATAACAAATGCAGAACAAAGAAACTGAGCTAAATCACTCGCAGAATGCAATACTTGTCCACATGATGGATACACCTCCATTTACATTGATAGCAAAACTAGAAAAGAGAAGCATGAAATAAATGTATGTGCTAATTTTTTTTACTTTCCATCTAGTTTGCATCCTCTTTTCAAACAACAGAAGTCATACACACCTTCTCTTCCTATTTTGGGAGGCTCATTGAGAAAAATCCAACACTTGCTAGATACGATCTGGCTTAAAGCAAAAATGCACATTTGATGACCCACTGATCAATAACACCATCCTTCCAACAAAATTTCAGCCGAGCTTGTACTAAAGAATCTGGGACTACTTCAGATAAGTAGATGAAACCCAAAGTAACACATAAGTTATCAATGAAGTAATCACTTCAAAATTCCTCGGTCCTTTAACTAATTGCAACGGTGGAATCACAGATACCATCAAGAAGGTTCCCAACAGCCATGAGAAAATAAAAGATCCAACCCTGCACGAAAACAGTAAAGTTACGATCCAAAACGTAGTTACTTATTGAGTAATTCTGGTTTGAACAGCAGATAAGATTCAAGAACGAATTAAGAAAGAAGAAAAGGGTACTTTGTCGTTCTGAAACTATTTAGCAGAATTCTGGACAAACTCATGAATGGACAACAATTAGGAATGAAATTATGCTTTTTGTTATTAGTACAACAGCTATGGTGTCAATGAAAAGGATAGGTTTGTTTCGAAAATCTTCCTAGATTGATTTTTTTTCAAAAAAAAAACAACACTACCATTGAAAAAAAAAAAAAAGTATTCAATGGATGAGTGAGTGGAGATATAATGAGGAAACGAAAAGTAATGAAAGACATTATCCACGTACCCGTAAAGAAAAGCCCGTATTTTGCTTTTCAGCCGATCATGTATAAAATACATGGTAGCGATCAAGGAAATGGCTACCTGAAGGGTTGGACCTTCTTCAGTTGGAAAGATAAAAGTCAGAGCTCCAAGTACTAGGAAAGCAATTGCTGTTTTAATAATAACATTTGTTGACGGAGTCTGGAACCTGCTCGTGACAATCTGCATAAAACGAGACTGCTTCATTTCCCTAACTTTTTTCTTGAAGTCTATTTTTGGGTTCTTCCTATCATAAAACTTCTGCATGATGATTTTGTCATGGGCTGATTCAATCGCATCCACACTTGGTTTGTGCCCAGCATATTGATGAATAAGGAAGTTCCTTGCAGCTTGAATTTCATCTTCAGAAGCCTCCTTGCTTATTCCAAGCCGTTTGTATGGATCCCTTATGTGGATTCTTGGAAAAACAACTGAACTTGCAGAGATGGTTTTAGACAAAGATTCAGGGAGTGAATGGTGCTAATTTCTAACAATTTGAACTTAGGGCCAACAAAAATCAAGCAGAAGTAACTAAAACAGAAAGGGAAAGAGAACTACAACAAGCTCTTATTGACCCACAACACAAGCATGAGCATGAACTAACTAATATTTATGAAAGAATAGCACAATTAATGATTGCTTGCTTTCTGGAAGTGCAGGTAACAATAATATGTCAAACATTCAATTTGCTTTCGTGCACTTTCTACTGTTTGGTATAAGATAGGTTGACAGTGTGAAAGAACATCCCAAGCATAGTCATTCATGACTCAAATAAGCCATGCAATGACATCGACTCCACTTAGCTAAAACCAAATTGTTCTTCACAGGTACAAGCCCATGATGTCTCGAGATATCTGGAATGTTCAGATAACAGTTTCCCCCATAAGTATTCTCTCTACTTGCTTCTAGGGATAACATGATTTCATAAGTATGGGCTAAGCGAATGCCTCCACCAGTTATCCTCATTGTGTTAAACAAATGGTGCTTTTCAAACTCGTACTAATAAAATTTGCTGAACTCTAAATCAGCTAAGTTATCAGCCTAACGTGTCTGGATGATAAATATCGATCTCTTCACCAAACCCATCATTTTTTTAGGCCATAAGTTAGGATGGCCAACAAGAATGTTAATGGGATACATCTTCAAACAAAGAAGGTTCTCCAGTTACCAAGCACTCACCATAAAAACCCTTTGATCTAACAATCAACGGTTAAATTTTAAGCCCAAAAGCTGACATGCAGAATATAAAAGTTCAAATGATCAAGGAAGTAAATATTACCTGATCGATCATTGGTCATGTCACCATCATAGGAAGCATCCATTGCACATTTAACCAAGTAAGTTTGCTTTATATTACATCTTTGTACAGGACCAGCCAAATAACTTCTGTGCAATGGCAACAAGCAAAAGAAAAGGTTAGAATTAATGTGTACATAATCTTCTTAACGAAGTATAATGCTTGATACCAACCCATCAATACCTTTCGAGACTGAACCATTTAACCTTGTCTTTTGGTTTCTCAGCATTCGGTAAAGCTGAAACTCGTCTAGACAGAGTCCTCGGGCCATGTAATGGTATCCGTAGACAACATGGATTACCAGTGAGTCCAGACACTGTCATCGTTACACTGCTACACCAAGTTCACAACAAATGAACCCCCATTCCATAAAATTCATCTTCTTCTTCTTCTTTTTCAATTTTTGTTTCTGGGTCATCAATTTGAATCAAGATAAAGCATGATTTTTTTGACTGTCTTATTTCCACACATCCTTCAATTATATATATATATATATATAAGATGAAAAGCCACCATTTTTAAGTTTTTGTGTTTAAAAGTAGCGGTACAGTAATACAAACTAACAAAGAAAATAACAAGAAAGCAGAATTAGCTTAACTGCAGTTACGTTCACAATCTTTGCTTGGAAAAGCAAAATTCTAAACTTTGAAAGATTAAAGCTTTGGATAAGATTAAGAAACCTACCTGAATTTGGGATTAGAGAGATGTCAAAAAACTTGTAGAGCAGTAGGGATTTGATTTGTATTGTGTGAGCTGCTGCTGCAAAGGATAGGAAGAGAAGAGAAGTGAGGGCTTAGAAGCTTAGAGCCTAAAAGAAAAGCCCTTAAAACCGTGCTCAATTGGAGTTAGAGAATAACTAGAGAGGGATTAGCCTTTTTTTGTTTGCATAGGACGCGGGCGACCATCATTAATAAGGTTAATGGTAGCAGGGTCCTTCAACTCTTTCTTTCGTTTTCATTCAGTCCTTTTATTATTATTATTATTTTCTTAATTTTGGCTCATTGTATTTGATTTCTATCTTAATCTAGTTTCTCCATTAGTTATTTAGACTAACGGTATTAAATCGCATTATGACTTGTGTCAATTTTTTTTCATTTTAATCCCACCTTTCTATTTCTTTTTTCATCTTAATCTTGTCTCTCTTTTTTACCAAATTTAAATAAATAAATTTAAAAAGATATAAAAAATATTTAAAATATTTTTTATGCATTTAAATTTATCTATATAATAGTAAGCAAGTTTTGATTATAAAATGACATATTTTTAGTAATATTTTTAAATACGAAAAGAGTTTTAATCAAATTTTATAATATCTCAAAAAAGCCTATTATGATTTATTTATTTTGATTTTATAAATTTCTTAATTTGAATGAAAAATAGGAATATAAATTTCTGTTAGTTCAACACTAAGGAATTTCTTAATTTGACTAAAATTTATAAGAAATTTTATATTCTTATTTTTAATTAAATTAAGAAATTTATAAAATCAAAATAAATAAATTATAATAGAACATTGTAAAGTATTATAAAATTATAAATATCATTAAAAAAATTTAATTGCTTGATTCGTTTTTTACTTTTTGATGTTTTTTTAATGTGGCATCTTCGCTAGTTTTTCGGTCTATTTTTTGAACAAACATGATAAGTAGAAAAGAATTTGACACGTATGATGTCATGTAAGATAAAATTAACATATGGCAAAAAAAATGAAAACATCACATTTCTCAATGGCTCTGTTAAGGGTTTTTGAAATTTAAATGTTACTGCATTGCTGCCATTTATTACAACCAACCAAGAAAATGAAAAACATTTAAAACGTAGAACCTTTAGGAGTTAGGACAGCTTCGCCTTTTGTTAAAATTTGCAGATTGCTTAGCCATCTCCAGTAGATGTGTCGGTGCAGCTCTTCCCGTTGCAGATTTTTCAAATTGCTCTTGCCTGCAAAAAATATGATAATCTTCGTTACTAAATATTCAAAACACTGATTTACTTTACTTCTAGGATTTTTAACATTGTTTGGGTTTTATCCACTGATTTCAGTTAAATCAGTCAATGGATTTATGAAAAGAAAAGAAAAATGTACAGAAGGAAGGTGAAGAGGTTGATGAAAATAAAGAGGAATTTCCGGAAAAATGCTGGGATTTTGTCAATGGTTATCACATGATTCAAGATTTATGAATCATCTTGAGTCTGAAAGAGAAACAAAATGGAGAGAGTAAAGTTTTAAAATTGTTGAAGAAAAGATAAGGGAAAAAATAAAATAGTTTGATTTTTTGGGAGGAAAAAAAAAAAGAAATTATTAATTTTCTTTTCTTTTTATTTTAATACTTAAAAAATAATTTGTCTTCCTTTCATTTTGATTTCTTGGCATACATATATGGTAGTTTTATCTTACATGACAGTATACATGTAAAATTTTTCTTAGTTTTCAATTTCTAAAAAGTAAATGTTAGCTGCCTGTCACCTCTCTTAGTGAAGTCATGAATGCTTCCACCCGCTGCTCAGTATATGAAGATTGGTATTAAACATTGTACAAAAAGTGCAAAGATTAAATGGGATCAAATGTCTCCTGGATATTTTTAAAAAATTGAAGGTAGGTGATGGAAGAGAGATAGCTAGACTGGCTGGCTAGAGAAGTCCTTTGGTTGCTGAATCCAAAGACATGGGCTGAAACCTGCTCAGACTTGAATCAGGAATGGGTTGTAGAGAATTGAATGAGTTAGCTACTATTGTTTTGTCCACCCGCTACAAAAGAGAGAGAGAGAGATAAGCAGTTAGCTACTACAGATTTATAGAGAAATGAAAACGTCAATTAGGGAAGTGATGTAGAAGAAACAGCCATTTTTAAAGAAATGAGAGAAGCAAAGAGATGTCTTCTTTCCGTCCTAGTTTTTTTAAAAAAAAAAATTGCTTTTTTTCCTTCTAATTTTCAGCTATTTTTTCGGATTTTTTTAAAATCTTTTGGCACGTGACAAATTTATCTTTACATTAATTTTTTTATGTTCGATGTCAATCAAAAAACAATTAGATAAGCTATGATGAATAAATAATGGATCTGATTTTTAAGGATGGTAGGATCTTGTCACTCTAGGTTTTAGTCCAACGATGTCGTTTCGTGAAGTTTAATGGGATGAAAATTATGCCTTCCGTTGCCGGGACTTGAACCCGGGTCGCTCGGGTGAGAGCCGAGTATCCTAACCAACTAGACTACAACGGATTTGTCTTCGTATATATGAATTTATATTCATATTAGAATCCGAATATATGCTTGTGACTTTTAATATTCGAAAAACACAAAAAAATCTATAGCAAGCCCATCATGAAGAGTTGAACATCCAAAATGCAAAAAATCCTGAAGGATGTTCTTTGTTGAACTCTTTTTTTTTTTTTTTCCGAAAGCGTTTTACGGTCGCACTCACAACCCTTGTTTTAGGATCTTAGACTATTTGCTCTCTTCCACTACTTGGCTTCAGCTTCAACCAGTAGCATATGAATGCTACTCCATGTTGACGATAAAAACTCCCAAAATCGGCAACAACTGTACATTACAAGATAATCTGCTGTAAAAACAGGCCACCACCACATGCAATGGTAAAAAACATTGGCTGAACACCAAGCAATGATCATAAGCTACTAAAACAACCACCATGCATGTAGAAATCGCAGCTAGGAAGCTGTCGATTAATCCACAGCTAACATTTTGGGGCGGCACCTGCATCAGGCATGGATATAGACGTGTGTAGAACAAGGCATAACCTTCTACTCACTGTGAAGAGTAAAAAAGGACAAGGATTCATTTCACAATTCTAGTACCTAATAAAGGCATCTACAAGTTTAAGGTGAGTTTCTCAGTTGAGATGCCCTGGTACGTAGTACAGTTACAAATCCTTTCCAGAGTTTTCTACTTGAAGCTGTTATAGCCTATGAACCCATCGCTCAAGTCGAAGCTGCTTCGTAGGAGGTCCACGATCTGGCTTACTCTTCTGAGGACACTTCCATTTTCCAGTGACTTCAATCACATCAAGGTTTTCAAAATTAGAAACTTCTGACAGCACCTTTCTTTTTACAGTGACGACTTTTTCATCCTTTTCACCACCCCTTGAAGTAATCCCTCTACTTTTTGTACATTCCAATAAAATATGTTGTTGCCTGTGCTTATCCAAAGAATTCTCATCATTCCGTTTTGTCATCCTGTTCTTCATTGTTGTAACAAAATCATTTCCTTGAACTTCTTTTCCTTCATTTCTTTTGTTATTGCTCCTTCCATGTGTTGATTGGCAACTTGAAGAAGCTCCGACTCCTTGAATGAACTTCATATTGCCTCTAGACGATACAAGATCAACTTCTGCTTGAGCATTAGCTTCCAAGTTTGTAAAATCCTTTTTGCGGTTCAACTTTGTTGGAGTTTTATTGCTTGATTTCACATTACTCTTGACTGACACAAAACCAACTTCTTGTGCTAGATGTTGCATCTGCTGTTGTTTAAATGGAGGCACGTCAAAATTCAAGCTTGGTTTCTCCACATCTTTGGTTGGGATAATAGCATGGCTCGGAAATGATTCATCTTCCATGCTATGCTCTACTTCGTGACACAGATTATCTAGAACAGATAAGGCCTCTTTCTCTACATCCCTAGTGTCCTGTGATGTGAAAAGTCAATGAACAAAATCACGCAGAGAATCGTTGAAAAAACAAACTTCATCCCCCTTAAGACCAGCTAAAACACCCCATGGTGATAAGAAAGATATTATCCATAAAACCTGTCAAACTAACCTGAGAGGGAGAAACCTTATTCATAGACTTTTCCTGTATATGATTTCCTAGGGAGCTACTGGACTTCACAATTCCATTTGAGTGTTCCCTTTCATCTGAACTTGTTTTTTGTCGTAATTTCCACAACTGCATTTCTTTCTTTAACTTGCTGTCTTGGTTAGCAAACTCATCTTCCTCGCATTCAGTTTTGCCAAGAAGAAATCCATTGTCTTTGCTCAATACAGGAGATTCGTACACATAGCTGGGGAACCAGTTTCTTATGTCGGGTGGCTCTGGCAGACAAGAAACACAAACAACGTTATTATCTTTTAATTAACTAGCTTAGATTTTTCACTCACTTATTTTCTTCTGAAAGAATCGCAATGAAAGTAGATTCCCATGATTTTCTCAGCTTTCATTACTATGATGCAGTCAGGCCACAAAAAATGTTCTGGAAGCTCTACTAACCAGAAAGGAATAGGGATGATTGAGAAGAGTCTGAAATCTGCAACATCCAAATAATAATTAACTTCAAACACTATACGATAGCTGAGAATTTGCAGAACAAGTGAAAGAATATCAATAGTGTGATTGCAGTCAATGGAACACAGGTAAGAACAATGGATTCTGCAAACGCACCTCACGTAAAGTCCTGTCCTCACAAACATCTCCAAATGAATTCTTTGAGCATAGCTTCTCACCAGCACGTATTTCATTGTTGTTTCTACAGTTGCTCAAATCCACAGCCTTTTTTTCTCTTTTATTGTCACTCTCTTCAATAGCAAATCCATCCTTCTCAGGTTTTCTTTCTTTGATAACAGATTCTTTAAAATAATCAGCTGTATCCAAAACAGGAGATTCAGACTCATAGCTTGGAAACCAGTTTCTGAGGTCAGTAGGCTCTGATAAAACAGAGAAAAAAATAAGTTTCTAACTACAAAAATGGTTTCGTATCCTTGTTTTATTTACTTGAAAGATAGAATGACAAGGCTTGAAGGTTTCCTTTCTTTCTTAGATCGGAATATCAACCACAAAGTTGCTATTATTTCATCAGATCAAGCATAAAAAGGAATTGGTACTAACCAGAAAGGAGAGACAGCGAGCACAGAGAATCGGGCATCTATAACAAAAATAAGAAAGCGCGTCACGTGTGAGAACTTTTAGATTTAAATTATTTTATTGATTGCTTAAGCAAACTAGAACATACAAGTACATGATTATGCAAAATATAGCATATCAAGAACCTTAAGTCATTCCATTATTGAACTACGCTAAATACCAAGGGCATCACTCGTCCATGATTGTGTCAATGAATTACAATATTGAAACCCAGATTACAAGTTTCAACAACCATCCATTTGATAAAAGATATAGATTAATTATAATTTCCACTTTTTTAGAGAAAAGTATGTGCAAAAAGGTAAGAGGTTAGTAATCATACCGTACTAAAAGACTGATCTCCATGCTTATCATCACTGCTGTTGTTACCAATCCTTCTGGCTTCACAAAAATTCCCTTCCTTTTCTTTAATTCCCTCCTCAATGCCAACATGCCCATCTCTCCGACACTCAAATTCACTTTCTTTAAGGAAAGAACCTCCAAAATCATCATAAGTATCCAAAACAAAAGATTCATACTGGTAACTAGAAAACCAGTTTCTTATATCGGGTGGCTCTGCAAGAAACCATAAAAAACACAATTATCACACCATTTGATAACTTTGAAATGTACCCATTTCATATTTCTACAAAATATGAAATCAGTGGACATTTTTCCTCAAGAAAAATCGATATGTACCAGAAGGGAGCGAGAGAGAAGAATTATGAATCTGCAGAAAAAGCAGAAGAAGAATTGGTCAGAAATGAAAAGGGAAAATTTGGGTTTGAGAGAAAGAAAAGGATGCTTACCTCCTGAGTATCAGAATCAGAATCAAAATCAGAGGTGTTTTCCATTTGAGATTGATTTCAATCTCTCTCACGTACATGGAGATTGATCGGAGTTTATTTCTGATTTTGAAATCTAGCGGGTCTTTTTGGCGCCTGTTTTTTTCTTGAAAATATTGGGCATTTGCTGGAAATCTGTTGAGCCGAAGTCGTTCTCTTCCCACAAGACTGAGTTCAAGACAATAAGCTTTGGGCCGCCATCAAGCCCAAGCTCTTTTTTTTTTAATAGAAAGAGAACAATATATAAGAGTTTCCAAGTTATTTTTTAAAATAGAACAATATATAAGAGTTTCCAAGTTATTTTTTAAAATAGCACATCATGAAAGCATAAATAATTAATAAATGAGTATATTTTCCTCATTCAGTTTATTGTATATCTAGGCCATTAGAAGAAATTTTTTAGGCTTATGTTTTACAATTAGGTAGTATATTTCTATATTTATTTAAAGAGTTTAGCCAACGGATCTTTTAAAGAATAGTTCAATATGTTCTTATAGAATGAGATCAGAATTTAATTTGTTTTTATATTTTAAAATAAGTCAATTATATTTTTGTATTTTAATTGAGTTTTCAATCTATCTTTCTATTGAATTTTCTAACATAACTACTTAAAAAAGTCACATAACTTACACATAATTAATTTAAAAATCGTAACTCGCACATATTCGGTTGAGGAGCATTTAAAAAAAAAATCATGTGCAAGTCACATAAATTTTAATGATTTTTTGGCCGAAAAATTACCAAATTAATACAATAAAAACTTAATTAAAATACAGATACATAATTAACTTATTTTAAAATATAAATACATATTGAAAACTAATGCTGACAGATTGGACCATTACCCCGATGTTCTTTTGACATTTGTTAGATTCGTTTTATGCTCCAAATCAATTTTAATTTCATTTTTAATTATGAAAACTTAAAACTATTGATATATAAAATACCACTCACTTAATATCTATAATCACTATCATTTATTTTCATTTAAGTATTTGATTTTTATATTTTTAATAACAATTCAACAATAAACAAATTATAATAAAATTTTTATTCTTTTTTATCATAATCCGACAATAAATAAATTATATTAAATGCTTTTAGATAATGCTTATGGGGTGCTCTGAAGTCTAAAGACACGTGTTAGCTTTGTTTAAATTAATTATAAAATATAATTTTCATAGGTTATATCTTGGAAAAGGAAGAGACATCTAATTAGTTATTTTGGTTCTATATTTGTTCCAGTTATTCAATCCACATCAATTGCAAATACAAACATTACACTTTTGTCTTTTGGATCATATTCTACTGAATTAATTATAAATTAGTCTCTTTAGTTTAGTGAAAGGAATTCATTAGTCCCTCTATTGTGAGAAATAATTTAACAGTCCTTGTAGTTTCGTACTCCTTTAATCAATTAGTCCTTCTATGAATTCTCTATTAATTAATCAGTCCCTTAATATGAGAAATAATTTAATAGTCCTTGTAGTTTCGTATTTCATTAATTAATTACTTCCTCAAGAATTTGAGAGACCATTCTCAGCAATAAAAACTACGAAGTAGACAAAAAAATATCTCTTTTTATATGGTTTTTTCTCAGCCATAAATCACAAACTTACATCCTCACCCAAAAGAAAAAAAAAAGGATGTGAGACTTGGGATTCACATGGGAATTTAAATGATTTCTTTCCCTACTATTGAATTAATACGGTGCCATACTTTTTTCTATATGCTTATGTAGGATTCCATGATGACCATAATTCATGAGGAACATACTTTTGTCATCTTCTACCACGCCCTCTGCCCAAAACATACCATTTCCTTTGTTCTTTCTCTTAGCATATTTGCAAGCTAGTCCACCCCTACAAATAGAAGGCGAAATTTAAAAAAGGACCACACTGTCGTGCTGTCTGCCCAATTGCACGTTTCTCTATTCGTTCTAAGATTTACAGATTTTCAAACCAAACCATCATTCTCTAACACCTAACCCTAACTGTGCACTAATAAAATAGTAAAGTGTTTCATCCTTTCCACTTTCCATATCATTTTGCTTACCCCTCTAATGCAAGGTGTCTCGTGTGCTGAACTTTATGTCTAGGGCTATTCGTTCGGTTTTTTGATTTGATTTCGAAATATTTTGATCGATTTTTAATTAATCGAATTTTCAAGAAAGAAGACTAAAATCGAACCGAAATATCATTTGGTATTTCGGTTAAAAACTAAAATTTCGATTTCAGTCGTTGGTTATTCCATTTTTACCCTTTTTTTTTAGAAAAATCTTTAAAAAAAATGTCATAATTAAACTATTAATGTTTGGTACAGAATCTCATGTTTTGTTGGTGATCATAGACTTTGTGCCCAAGTAGTTACGGTCTTATGATTGGAGATTTGATATTTGAACATATTTGTAAAATCAAGTTTGAAAGATAATGACCACGTTAAATTTTCATGCATTTTTCTCGTTGTTTTTTTGTAATTGGGATAAAATAAAGATTGAATTTGTACAAACGATCATGTTTGAACATTTATGTAAACGATTGCAAAGCTTTGATGCTATTATATAATTACTCAAGAGGGAGAGAGGCAGCTTCTTTTCTTTGATTTTAGGGATTTAGGGTTTTCAAAAAATATATAGAAAGTAAAAGAAAATTTGGTTTTTTGATTTTCACTGAACCTAAAAAATTAAAAATTGAACCGAATTGAACCCAAAAAACCAAAATTGATATTTTAGTTCAACTTGGTTTGATTTTTCACTTAAAATCGAATAGTGAACACCCCTATTTATGTTGCTCTAGGAAGGGAAAAAAAAAAGGAAAAAAGGGTGGACTTCTTCTTCTTCTTCTTTTTTTGTTAACCTTTGCTTGCACAATCTGTGTTGGCCGTCGTTCAATCTTCAGTCGGTTTATTCCCCTTTGATTACCAAAAACAAAACATATATTGCGCATGTGATAATGGTAACGATGACCTAATTAGTCTATGATAAAATACTATTAGCACTACAGGGCAGACATGTAGACTCAATTTTTATTGGTTAAAGAACTCAAGAAACCAAAAATAAAAGTGGGAAGGCCAAGGAATAACTGGCCCAGCTTACCAGCTTTTTGTATTATTTTAACTCTTGCAATCTCTCTGGCAGAGTTAAATGGAAACCAAGTACAAACACAATGTCATGTGATGAGCAAAAGTTGTGGAGCAACAACACTATGTCACTTTTTATAACATGTAAGGTTAATATTATGCAATTTTCAACCTATGTTGACTTTCCTGACAAGCCACAACAGACAAGAAATAATACAGGACTAAAAGCCACTGCTAGGTCTAATGGATGTGATTACAAGAGACAATGTACATAAAGTCACATTCTGGCAGATTCCCCTGCCATTCCCTCTCCTCTAGGTTTGCAACCTCTCCTCTAAACACCTTATCTTTCTTTATCTTCGCTGCAGTTTCAACCTCTCAACTGGAGTGACTGAAAAGCTTTGCTTATTTGCTTCTCGTTCTTTGGTGCCAAAACTTGTGCGAAACATCTACTCCACAATGATGTTGAAGCTACTGCTAGTGACGGTATTGTTTGTAAGCGCGAATTCTTTGTCAATGCCAGAAAGGTCGAATGGGTTCTTGGTGCCTGAAGAAGCTTACTTGAAGTGGTTAAAACACATGGGTTCTTTCAAGCATTCTCTCTTCCAGAAAGCAAAGAACAAGTTCAAGCCTTGTTTAACCATAAAAGTAAGCAAGAAAACAAGGTCAGGAGCATTCCGTACCGTGCAAAAAGCCATCAGTTCATTACCAGTTGTAAATAACTGCAGAGTTGTCATCTCCATTAGTGCAGGAACTTACAGGTAGCATACAAGACCAAGATTTCGGTCTCCTCTTCATTGTTGACAGGGTTTTAGTAGACCAAGAATTGTTATGCTAAAATGTTTGATCTCTTCCTGTCACATCTAGTTATGTTTGATTATAATGCAGGGAGAAGGTTGAGATTCCTGCTACCATGGCTTACATTACCCTGCAAGGTGCTGGTGCAGACAAGACCGTCATCGAGTGGGATGATACAGCCGACCGAATGGATCAGAATGGACGGCCATTGGGTACCTATGGCTCTGCAACATTTGCTGTCAATTCCCCCTACTTCATTGCAAAAGACATCACCTTCAAGGTCTGTTATACGGTCCGAATTGGTTGCAATTATCTTCTGTTTGGCATGTGGTTGTCTTGTTAACAACTGTTTGAATTCACATTAATCCAATCAACAAGTCTACTAATTTTACCAATTACTAGATTATTGACTAAATAGAACATGCCAAACAATGTTTTATAACAAATTAGAAGAACTTGACTTGAACTGTAGAATTGAATCGAGCTTTATTAGGCTAGACGCTTGGGAGTAAAAGTTTTACTGCTTCATGACAGAACAAGGCACCTTTGCCACCATCAGGAGCTCTAGGAAAGCAAGCAGTAGCGCTACGAATATCAGCAGACACGGCAGCCTTTATAAGTTGCAAGTTCATCGGAGCACAAGACACCCTGTATGATCACATTGGCAGGCACTATTTCAAGAAATGCTACATCGAAGGTTCGGTAGATTTCATATTCGGAGATGGGCTCTCTCTCTATGAGGATTGCCATTTGCATGCAGTAACTACTAGCTTCGGAGCCTTGACTGCCCAGAAGAGGGAGAGCTTCCTCGAGGAAACAGGCTTCTCCTTCGTCAACTGCAAGGTCACTGGGTCAGGCGCTCTCTACTTGGGAAGAGCGTGGGGAAATTTCTCCAGGGTGGTCTTTGCCTACACTTACATGGACAAGATCATCACCCCTAGAGGATGGTATGACTGGGGGGACAAAAGCAGAGAGATGTAAGTGCTTCTCTCTCTCCGACACTAGAATTAACTTTGATTTGGCATAGCCAACATTCTTAATCTTTAATCAACAACTAATCAATTAATTAAAAGCAGTTACTAATCCTTTTTGAGTCCAGGTTGCTAGACTATAATATACGTGCCACAGTTGGATATAACTTGTTTGTTCTGCAAATTTCTTGCAGGACTGTATTTTTCGGCCAGTATAAATGCTCAGGACCAGGGGCTGAATTCGGAGGAAGAGTGTCTTGGTCCAGGGAGCTAACTGAACAGCAGGCCATGCCATTCATTTCAATTGGTTTCGTCGACGGCCATGAATGGCTTCCCAATTCATAATTATTTGTACTCACCAGTCCGACAATAAAATAGAACAATAAAAAAAAATGCAATGATCTTTATAAGCTTCTGATACGACTGATGATCTAGTTGTTGATACTGGAAATTTGAGAAGGCTTTCATTTGTGGCTCCTGAAAAGCGAATTCATGGTTTCTATTCTTCGCAAGTTCATTTGAAGAACAATGACGAACATCAATGACTGTTAAAAAAAAAAAGTGCACGGACGAGGAAACAAGTGCTCCGGCTTGAACACACGTGCAACCTGAATTATTGAATGCAGAGCATTGCAATCCTTTTCTAAGAAATACAGAAGTTACACCCCAATAACAAATAATAAACTACAAATACTAAAAAATCATATGTACAGTTCTCACATTAACTTCCCCCGTGACTAAAGACAATATGTGCAGCTTTCTGGTTAGTAGACTGTACAATATCCGGTTGTACCAGGCAAGGTGACAGCATCCAGCCTAGGTAAAACAAAAAAAGAACAGAAATAAAGAAAACACGGGAAGATGTTATCAATAACAATAAACAGCCTTTGTACAAACGATCGAAGTCAAGAAATTACAAGAATTATGAGGAGCATCACTATGCCCCAAGAACTAATAAATAACAATGGCAATAGAGTAATTAAGACAATAATTCAAGGGAAAGACTTGCAAACAACAACATCCTAATGATGATTGAGGACGAGATTTTACATGAGGCAACCCAGTTGGCTCTAATGCATAAACCAATCTCTTACAGCGAATAGATAACAGACACAAATTTTCAACATAAATGCACCCTATAAATTGCTAAAGAAAAGGATTTATTGACAGCGCGTACCAGATAAGATAAACATCATGATTGGAAGAGAGTTACAGTTGCAATGTAACCATTCTTCATCACCTGTTAACATGAGAATAGTGAGAATTGCACCAAATACCAAAAGCATATTTCAAAAGAGAGAGAAAAAAGAACAAAGAAAAAAACTTTAGCAAGTGCACAAAATTGATCGTGAATTTATCCAAAAGCTCACCTCAAAGGCAATGTTCTGATAACCATATACAAAAGTGGATCCAAAAGGATTGCTTGTAGAACCCTGTGTTTGAATAGCTGCTCGACCACAATCCCCAAGGATCTCCTAAAATATTGAATTACTCATTAGTTGCAATCATGATTTACTCATGAAGGTCAAATAAAAAAGAATCATGCCCGATGATAAGACTCTACATTAGACCAAGCGCATGTACAAGTAATGAATCTAACTACATGCTAGTGTCATTTATGAACACAGTTACAGTACCATTAGATTTTCCAGATTGAAATTAGAAGGGGAAAAAAACCTAGAATGGTTTTAAAATACCTTCACCTGGTCCCATTTTGTGCTTGGTGTAATACTCTGTTTGGAGTTATCTACTTCATCAAAGACCCACATGCAAGAAGCAGAAAGGGTTTATTAGTTTCTACATCAACAATATCAACTGAACCTTGCAAAATGTGATCAGTACTTACAGTCAGAACCTTGGATGACAAAATTGCACTTTATGTAGGAATTAAAATCTGCATGACCAGGATAGTTTGTGTGCAAAACAAACTTTTTGATTCTATGAGTCTACAAAAATAAAATAAGGTTATCTCCATATTTCCAAGTACAAAGACAGTTAAACAGAATCGTGGATGGAAATCCTTATAAACAGAGGAAGGGATAAATACCTGTCCATCAAATAAGATATCCAGACCACGAGTAAAGTAATTGTAGAAGTAATCTCCACAAATAGTTGTCCTAGGGCGAGGATCAGAAGCAGAGTGAATGACCATTTGGTCTACCTGCACCACTACCAAAATTAGTATGTGGCCACCAGCATGTGTTTAAGTGAAATGACACCGCTAAATAACAGTAAATTGAAAAAAAGAATAAAGGTCCATCAGTTATGGTCTCCTTTCAATTGAAAAAGGTGTCTCATGCATGTACACGGCCATGATCCAGCCTTACATGAGTGGAATTTTTCCTATCTCCATCCCCATGTAGTTGTAATCATTGAGTCCAATTGAGAAGTTGGTTACTTGATCGAAGTCCTATTTTGTATATAGTCCTGTTTTGTCTATTAAGCTATAAGAGTCCTATTTCTCTCAATCCAACTAACATTGCCTTTACAAACAGGATAAGTGACTCTACACTACCTGCTTTTGATGAATTCCACATGGACGACCTAGTTCTGTCCATACATCCTGCACAGAAAAGGAAACTGTGAGACACACACAGGATAAGTGACTTACAGCCTTTATAATCCCACATAAAATGGCACATCCCGATGAAAATCTCAATTATTGTTCTATCCTAATATAGTGTGGAAGCCATACATGGTATCACTCCTAATTTTTCCCTTCAAATCTCCTGGGGCATATGCCAACATGATGCAGCAACAAAATGACTTTGTGCAGAGTATGATACTTGAGATCAACAACATAAAACCCAAAAGTTACCTGTGGTGATGCACCAAAAAGAATATGCTGTCCTCCAACAGAGAAATATAATTCTTCCCCAAGCTGTCGAAATAAACATTGCATTAGAAAAGATACAAGAGACAAACATCAAGCATAAAAATTTTAACCTCGTAACACATAAAAAACCATGATGCTGATCCTCAAATCTGCGTAGCATAGTCCTCTAAAGTTGATACCAGTATGTTGAGAGTTGAGCATGTATGATGCCCAGAAGCCATTGATTAACCAACTGATTGAACAGCTTAACAAAAGATGTGGAGCAGTAAAAGAAAGAAGTTAAACCTTGACATGCACCTCTTCCATATACAGGTTACCGGGAAGTAATGGAGGAACAGAAGCCTTGTGCATTAAAGATCCAACGCCCACTTTCTTGTCTGCAGAACCATCATATATAGAGACTCGGCATGTAACTGGCGTAGTGCCATCCGGAAACTCCAGTGGCAGTTCCGCTGTCAACAAAATGAAAACAAATGGAACCAGTTAGAATCCTGAAAAGGTAGATAAAACAACTATATTAACTTGTCTGAAATGTAATACATTACCTTCTCTATCATGACAGCAATCTGTATACTGGCTGGGAATTGGAAAAGCAAATGACAAACCCTAAACAATACAAACGCAATACAAATCTGATCACGGAAGGCCACATTGCAAGAAAAGGTATATCACAATAATTGCATTTTTCATGTACGTACAGGATAAAACAGAGTGTACAAGCCTCTATCTTTGTCGTAAATCCCAGGAAATGTTGGTCCAAAAAGATCATATACAGCAACAAAAGTAGCTAGATTTGACGGTCCCCTAAACATAAAAGCATCAATCAAAACATAATCCAACAAAAACATAAACAAAATCATCAATAAGCCATGAGAATACCCAATAAGAGAAGTAGCGTAGCGCATTTGAAGTCGTTTCACGTCAAAAATCTCAATCAATCGTAACCTCTAACATAATCAAAGTTAAAACACGAAATGCATTAAAAAAAACAATACACAATCAACAGGGGAAAAAAATCAAAATCGAGGGAGAAAAAATGTATTACTTGCGACCACGGATCGAATCGAAGATGAAACCCATGGTCAGGAAAGCTAATAACAATATCAAGCTTTAATGGCTCCTGTACACAAAATAATAATAATAATAAATAAACAAATCGAATACGCAAACGCAAACTAGAAGAAAATTAAATTAAATTAAAATTCTCAAAATCAATCAAAACCTCATCGAAGAACTTCACATGGACGACGTCGTATATGCTAGGTTGTTGTTCAATCTGAGCAAATGCTTCGCATATTGGCATCCCTAATCCCAAAAAGGAAAACGATCAATTCATAATCTCTCAAAAAAAAAAAAAAAAAAAAACAACGTCGTTTAGTTGGGGAATTGATTACTTACCTAGAGAGAAAGGGCCGATGCCGTTACCAGGGCGAAGATCGAGAACGATCGCACCCATAGCAGTGCCTTCACAGCGGCGTCGCGGTCGCTGTAGCTGGTGATGATTGTAGTGGTGGTGTAACATGTTATCTGCTGGTTTCGTTTGGGTTTTTGGCTTTGGTTGGGGATTACAAAAGTCGGTTACTTCCACGAGAGAAGCTCCCTTCTTTGTTGAATGCTTTTGTACCAAGACTTTGTTTACACGAATCGTTCTGTTTTCTATTATTTTCGTTTGTCGTTCAGTGTACGAAATGACAACATTGATGCAGGTACCTGCGCCTTGTGTGTGGCTTGTGGGTTCTAAGCGGTATCTCATTCGGTTTTAACCCCCACTGTGAAACAGAAATGTCAACTGGCTTCTCTTCTCCGTATTTACCGTCTTGGATTTAAATTTCAGTGACTGTAAGAAAAAACTAAGATTTACTGTGGATATAGAAAATAATAATATGTTAATAGAAATAATTTTTGGTAATTGCTCGTTGTATTTTAAACACGTCATGTATTTTTTTTTCATTTAAATTAAAAGCGAAAAAAAAACTGAATCCTCAAATAAACTTTTTTGGTTTTGTTTATTATTATTGTTGTTGTTGTTGTTTTTTTGTTAGCTTAACCAAATTGAGGTGATAGAGGAGAAATAAATGTGTTTTAAAATCATTCAGTGTCGAACATGCCTTTCTATAGGGAAAAAAATCCACTATGCTCTTAATTTTAGCTTAGGGAAGTTAGGCTAGGGAACCCTAGTTGTTTTAAAAAAAATGGTCTAGTGCAAAAATTGTCCGAAAGACAGATCAAAAATTTATTTCTTTGAATGCATTGGATTGATATAAGAATGTGTCATTAAAACAATAAATTGTCGTTTGGTTATTAGGAATGAAATATCTAGAATGAAAATACGTAAATTGAAATTAAAATTAAAGAATCGGAATGACATTTATATCCTACATTATGTTTGAAATACTAATGAGTCATCGAAATACAATTTAAATTTTTTAATATCCGGTTTTTTATATAAATAAGATTAATGATTAAAATATAATTTTATCAAACTATAATGGTTATAGAAATAATAAAAGCGAAAGTGGTGGTTATGGCGAGTGGTTGCAGTTGTCGATGGCGGTAGCAATAATGGTTGCGGTGGTGGTGGTGGTGCTTGTACTGGTTGCTATGGTGGTTATAATGATGATAGCGAGTAGTGGTGGTGGTGGTGGTAATGTTGGTGGTTGTGATAGTGATGATGGTAAAAGTAGTTGGTGAGAATAAAACTTTCATTCTCATTCCATCGCTTTATTCTTGATTATCAAACAACATCTAATTGATCTACTAATACCTTTTATCCTTTAATAAATAGAAAAACTCTAATTTGATGTCTATTAATATTATCTTATATAGTTTGGCCTAGTCCAGGAGTTTTGATTAATGATTTTAATATACTCATGTGATTTTAATATACTTGGATGATACATGTCATCCCACATAACTCATGAGCTTTGACCATAAGCGACATGTTTACACACAAAACTCTACTTGACTTGACGACATACTTGGACAAAAGTTTAGGGTACAAAACCACATTCAAGACATAGACGGACGGATACATCTACATTGCTAGAGAGCACCTCACGAGAGGAACCCAATCAATTACAATCTAACTAATCAAATCAACCTCTATCAAAAGAAAACTATCTTGCAATCCAAGAATGAAACCGCAAAAAAAGACAAATTTCAAAATAGATTATACTTCCTTTGTTCTTTCAATTTCGTTTATGCAATTTTTGCTTCTCTTTTGCCGTATGTTAATGTCATTCAAAAGAGTTCAAAAGAACAACGACAAACCTCACCAACTTAGTCGAATGGAGAGAGGGGAAGAATAGCCAAATTATGGCCAATTTTTTGAGACAAGAGACTAGTCACTAACTTCTACATCCCTCATCAAAAACCAAACCAAAACTATCCCTAACTCAGCTTCGCCTCTATTCCTACTACCATTTTCATGTTTAACAAAATAATCAAAACCTTTCCATTTGTGTGTTGCATCTAAGCACTCAAACCAACATTCTCTAAGACAAACTTGTTATGTACCTATCTCGGGACTAAAAGGGAAAAGAGTGAATCCATTAGCTTTACTCGTCTAAACTCGCTCTCTCTCTCTCTATAATTAACATGACATCATAACCAACCTTCTCAAACAAACACATCAATATTAAAACTTCCAAATCAAAATTAAGGAGGAAAATGAACTCATATACCTCGGTTATCAAGGACTAAGAAGGGACCCTCCAACACCGCTCGCTAGTAGGGTGAGCATTCGGTGTTTCAATTTTGGTTTCCATAAATTTGATTTGATTTACGGTTAATCGAACATATTAAAAAATCGAATAGAAACCGAACTCGATATTATTTGGTTTTCGATTCCGGAATAAAAACTTTGGTTTTATTTGGATTTTTACCTTTTTTAATATAAAAATAACGTTATGATTCTTAGTTTCTTTGATACTATTTTTGTTATGAGTTAGATTTTCTATATATTCATCATTTTATTTTGAAAAAAATAAGAAATATCATTCCAAAATTTCAATCAATTACAAAATAACATCAAACATTCAAGTGAATTGATATGATCTATAAATCATTAATATAATTTATTTAGCAATAAAGAAAAAGGAATGAAAAAAAATGCTTGAACTTATTAATAGGATAGTTTATGGTTTTTTTTTTAATGTTTGATTATATATAACAACACATAAGCCAGATTACAATACTATAGTGAAATAATCAAACAATACTATTTTCATTATCTGAATAAAAGTTTCAAAATCAATTTTTAATTATCGATTTTGTTTTTATTTGATTTGATTCAATTTTCGTATTTGTTATCTTTGTTTGAGTTTTATGAAAATTGTAATGATAAAATATTTTTCTAAGTATCAATAAAATTATTATTTTTCTAAAAAAATGGTAATTTTGATGAAACCAACAAATATAAATCGAATAGGATTTGAATTGAGCATTAGATTCCTAATTAGTTATAGTGTTATAAGTACCCGATGAATTTAGAATTCGGCTAGGGTTTTTATTTCTTGTAACAATCTTAGCATATTCATGCACAACTAAATTTATTGCGTGCAATAAAATATAGTAATATAATAATTCAAAATAAAAACAAAATTATCTAACCAGTTGGTGTTGGCTGAGAGAAGAGGCATGGTAGATACAAGTTGAAGGCACATGAATTAGGGACAACAAGTGTGCCCGCTTTCGTTATCTGAATAAAGGAGCAAGGAGGCATGGGTGGACTTTTATTTCAGAGATGGAAGCTCATAAAAATACTTCAATTTATTTGGGCATGGAGGTTAATATTATATCTTCCGATCTAATTGACCTTTGTACTCGAATTTATATATAAAAATAATTTTTGGATGTATATTTAAAATAATTTATTTATTATTTTCTAAGATTACTTAGAAAATATTTATATTTTTCATGACTTATATACTTTACTTAATAAAAACTGATCATAAAACAAATTACTTGGACATCCCTCGGAGATATGTCTCCAATAAAAATTATAAATAAATTGATGGACATGGAGTATCTACCATAGAATCAGAAAGATAACTCACTCTATATTTTCACATGCAAAATCCGAATGTGTGAATTCCCCCAATAATAGTCATGGTGTTTGGACTTTCAAAAAAAAAAAAAAAAAAAGTGTTTGGAGTTTGGACTGCCACTCAAAACGCTCTTAGCCTCTTAGCATTATAGTTGTCAATTTCGTTTTGCGTATCATTTCGTGTTTTTTTTTTTTTTTTTGATAAATTGATAAGAGATGTTTCGGTATTAAAGAATTTTGATATTTCGTTTCAAACTCCTCTATATATAATCGGGGTTTTACTTATATAGAGACTTTGTATAATTAAAATTTTTTTTTTATTGAGATCTTAAATTTTGTAATTATAATAGAGTTTAAAAAAAATCGAATTATATGAAGTCTCGATATGTGTAAAACTCATATATATAATTAAAAAAAATTCAAAATACATAATTTCCAACTCAAATTTAAAGATAAATTAGTTTCAAACAGAGAAATACAAATAAATGTCAACTATCTAAAAATAAATGTCAACTATCCAAAAATAATTTATCTAAAAATAAATTTAAAAAACCATAACATTCTTAAATGTTTCAAAAAAAATTAATCATGTGTTCAGTACAAATAAAATATAAAAAAGAAAAAAATAATATTAGAGATCGAGTTGTAAGACTAAAAAATCATTGCTAGTTAGAAACAAAATTAGAAATGCTAGCAATTGCATATAAAACTTGCCAATACTTTATGCTGTTATCTATAATTATTTAGTTATGAACCTATATATTGTATTTTTTTGTTCAGAAATATACATCATGGCTAAGGCAAGAGAGAAGAGTTGTAAAAAAAGAAAAAAGAAAAAAGTAAATTATAATTTAGCTCAGTGTTTTTGTAAGTTAGTCCTTTTATTTTTAAAAATTATAAGTTAGTTTATTCACCAAAGTTGATTCTAAATTATTATTATTTTTTTGAAATTTCAAAATTATTATTTTTAAATACACTTTTAATTTTGTGTGTAGGAGATAAGATAAAAAAAATTTGATTACAAATAAAGGATATTTTAGAAAGAAAAAAAACAATTTAATTATGATGAAAACCAACAAAATTTTAAATTTGTCTTTATTTTGATTCCAATAGAACTAGTAAAACATACGTGAAATATATTGGTTAGTATTTAGTCAAAACTAGACATTTTTTTGTGCTACACTGTGACTCAAATAAAACAAAAATATTTCAAAATTTTAGAATTTTTAATTGAAACTTAGTATTTAATTAATTTTTTATTAATTTTTTCATAAATTTATACTAAAAAAATGAGTTTTTATACATTGATTCTTAAATAAAAATTATAATAATTTAAACTGAAATATTAATCAAGAACTAAAAAAAATAAAATAAAATATATTTTTCATAAAATTGTATCCAAAAAGTAAAACTATAATTAATATATAGACTTATACAAAAATTAACAAATAAAAAATAATTTTTTATTCTTATCCAATGCCCGTGAGAAGATTATTTATTGAAAATATATGCATTTGATTTATATTTATTTATTTACAAAATAATTAATAATGTTAGCATAAAAAATTGTATTTGAATAACTTAATAATTCTTTAGAAAAATTATTTCAGTTATTTTATTTCAAAGAATTTTATTTTATAATGTTAAAAAATAATAGTAAATACTTAGTGTTATTTGTATAGATGCATAATGAATTTTTAATTAAATTGATAATTTAATATTTATTCATATGTCATGATTATATTTAGTGGGTTGAGAATGTGTAGCAAAAAGCGACAAACATTCAAATTTATCATTGCTAGATTGTATGAAAAACACAAAAAAAATATTCGACTTTTCATAATTTTTTCCTAAAAAAGTATTAAAAAAAGAGGAAAAAACTGGCCAGAGATTAGGCTTGCGGGTGCTGGAGCCTGGCTCTAAGCCTGAGCAAGCCAAACCCACCAAAAAAAAAAAAAAAAAAAATTGGACGCTGCAATTTTTGGGGAAATGTGATTCATCGAAATTGTCTTGGAAAAATAGGTTCTTGATTTCTAGCATCTTAAACCTAAATTCAGCCTTATTTTTTTATACACATAATAGATAAAAATTTAAATTAAAATAAAAAATTCAAAATATTTATGACTTCTGATATATTTTTTTAAATCATTTGTATGATTTGTCATCATAAAAAACGAATTTTACTCTTTAAGATGAATAAAATAATATTGAGTTCCAATCAATGGCCGAATTGCGTGTCTGTTGTTTTTCTCTCTTTCCTTCTCTCTCCTCCAAATAATATAAATAAAGTTCAAGTTACAAAAAAAAGAATTTTGTAAAAAATGAGAGATTAAAGTACAGATTTTTTATAAACATGGTTGTAAACAATACAATGGACTATGCGAAAATAAGTGTTAGTGAACCGTGTGAATGAATTAAATGGAATGTGCAAATAAAACGAACCGTGTGAATAAATGTGTGTAAAAGTTACAAAAGTGATGTCTCCGTCCAGACAAACCATAAACAAAAATACGTTTCCACGATCCAAAAAGTTAAAAAATAAGAAGGAAAAACACACTATCGGCCATGTTTTTAGCATTTTTGAAAACGAAAATGTCCAAAAAGGACGGGCCCCCCCACCCCCCGCCTCCCTATCCCCAACTCCCTTTCTCGGTACTTACCCATACCGCCGCTGCCCACGTGGTGTTCGATCACAAGACCCCTCCACAGTCCAAAAGACGAATCAAAGTGCCGCGTTTGACGCCTCCCTCACAGGTCATTCAACCCTCGCTTTTTCTTCATTTCTCAACCAAATGCATGGACACGGTCACCTTGGATCATCTTATGACTTTCAGCATTTATTCTGGTTTCATTCAAAGCACACACCATTCTCCATGTCACCATTATTTATATTCGAATCTGTCAAACATTACGCCGACTTCAAACTATCTTCTTCTTTTTTTAAATGAAATTATTTCATTTTAAAAAGAAGAAGAGAGAATTCGTTAACAAATTATTTTATTTTTATTAAAAATTGAAGATAGTTTTTCGAGTCAAAAGCAAAGCATAAAAAAATAAATTATACTTTCCAACAACAAAAGCAGATGCAGTAAATGGATTAAAAACTTAGCAATGCTAAACAGACAATAGGCCGCAAAATGCGAAATGTTTATTAATGACAGACGTGGTTTTTTTTCAGCATTTATTCTGGTTTCATTCAAACCATACACTATCCTCCATGTCACCATTATTTTTATTCGGATCTGTCAAAAATTACGCTGACTTCAAAACATCGACAGTATTTAAAATAATTTCTTATTGAATTCTCTCTCTCTCTCTTTCGTTTTTTTTTTTAAATAAAACGTTGTTGATCAAATATTAAAGAAGAGAGATTTCGGTAAAAAATTATTTTATTTTTATTAAAATTGAAGATAATTTTTTGAGTCAAAAGCAAAGCATAAAAAAAAGCATACTTTCCAACAAAAAATAATTAAAAGCTGATGTAGTAAATGGATTAAAGGCTTAGCAATGCTAAACAGACAATAGGCTGCAAAATGTGAAATGTTTATTAATGACAGACGTGATTTTTTCAAACTTACTACTCGAAAATCTGGTAGAATTTAAATCCGAGCCTAAACTTTTAGTCCAATCAACAAGTGATACGTCTTTGGTGACCTATGACTAACTAGTGTTTTAAGATATTTTTTTCATCCTTTTTTAGAAGTTTTGAGCTGCGATGCAAGTTGGAAAAAAAAAAAAAAAGAGAGAAAGTCATGGTCTTTTTACCCAATCCCAGGTGTCCGTCTCAGACAGTTCCGTCCACTCTTGTATTGTCTCTCTAAAATCTCTCACTCAAAAAAAAAAAAAAAAGAAAAAAGAAAAAAAGAAATGCCCTGTCACATCTTTACCCAAGTCTATGCTCATGTGCTCCCACGAGTCCTAGAGACCACCCTCTCTTCCTCCTCCCCTGCTCTCCCTTCCCCTTCTCCCAACCCCTCCAAAAATCCCAAAATCGAAACCTAGGGTTTCCATTTTTTACCTACTAACCAACACAATCACTAATCTCTCTCAATTTTCAATTCAATTTATTCTCCACATGCACCAACAGCAAGAAGCCTACAGGCCTTCCATTCCAGATGGGACCCGAGAAACGCCGCAAAATTTTGACAATTCTTTGCGAACTTCTGATCGTATGAGCATCGATCAATGCGAAACGATTCCAGAAATGGATGATTCTCAGCTTGTCGGAGCTCCAGTCGCGATGGTTACTGCTGACGTGGACTTTTCTAAAAGAGAATCAGTAAATACCGTACCTGTTGTAGAGGTTAGTAATGATGCGAAAATTGCGGAAATCAGTACGGGCAAGCGAAAGCGAGGCCGCCCGCCTAGAATTCAGGGGAAATTAGGGCCGCCACAAGCTCCGCCTGCTTCGTGTTCACAGAGGAAGAAGAAAGATGAAGAAGATGTTTGTTTTATTTGCTTTGATGGTGGTAGTCTTGTTCTTTGTGATCGCCGGTGAGCTTGACAATTTTGAACTTTTTTTTCTGTTTGGTTGTCAACAAAATCTGAACTTGAAGTTTTAGTTGAGAAAAAAGAGAAATATGTTTGGTTGTGATTAAATGTGTTTAATTTTGATGTCAGTGAGGTGATAAAAATAGAAAGTTAGTGAGGTTTGGGACCAAATGCTGTTTTAGGGTTTTTGGTGTTTGCGTGGGTTGTTTGTAGTGATCGACTTGGTTTAATTGTTTTGGGTTGATATGTAGGGGTTGTCCGAAAGCGTATCATCCGGCTTGTATCAAAAGGGATGAGGCATTCTTTCGATCGAAGGCTAAATGGAATTGTGGTATGTTTTAGTGAATGTAGTGATTTTCTTTTGAATTTATGCATCTTGTTTTTGAAAGTTTGTTCTTGTGTTCGTGCATATTGCATTGATTATTGGAATGCAGTAATATCGAAGTGAAAAGTATGATGCGCTGTGTGTGTGGGTTGGGGAGGGGGTTTTAATTAGGCAGAATGACGTTTTAGTTCAAAATGTGGACTTAATTTTGCATGTGCATGTGATGGGCTGGTTTTTATTGGGAGGAATGGTGTTTTAGATGAGAAGCAAGAATTTAGTTTTGCATACACGTGTGAACATATTATTGCAGTTTTAATGTTTGCAGTGTGATACTATCCAACTCAGCCTCGATGTTTGCAGTCCAAAATGCTAAAATTGTTAGTTAATGATTGGGCATGTTGATTTGCTCCGCGTAGTTGTATATAGTAATAAACGTGTCGATAGATGCTGTATGTGTTCCATTTTCAATCACATTTTGTTTTTTCTAAAGTAGTCGTGGTTCATAAACTTGTCAGTTGATGTCTTGTGCACTCAATTTTCGACTGGATTCTTGTATTTTCTGTAGTAGAAAAGGTTAATAAACGTGTCAATCAATGTCTTATTCAACTCCATATGCGATTGGATTCTCGTTTCTCTGATCAGTCGTGGTTAATGAATGGGTCAGTAGATGTCATATGCATAACAACTCATTCATATGTCTCTCTATATTAGTTATGATTGCAGTCCATCTTGTACAAAGTTACCATTTCTGATTTCCAATGTTAACTTATTTCCACCAATCTTGAGGCTTTTCAGTTATCTCATGCTTTTATTGTGGCATATTTTCAGGGTGGCATATTTGTAGCAGCTGTCAGAAGGCTTCCCATTATATGTGCTATACATGTACATACTCTTTGTGCAAAGGATGTACAAAAGATGCTGATTATTTGTGTGTAAGAGGGAATAAAGGATTTTGTGGTACATGCATGAGAACTATAATGCTGATTGAAAATATTGGAACAGGAAATCAGGAGACGGTATGTTAATTGTTCAATTCTATATTTTATTCTAGTGCTCTATATCTTATTCTACTGTAGCCAGCTTTTGTGGCCTAATTGCGTCATGAAAGTGCAGTAATGATAAGATTATAGGAACTCTTCAGTGTCTTTTGGCACCTCATTTTCTTTTGTTTTGGGTCTGTACTGTACCCTCGTCTAGCTTTTATATTGTCCATGGCATCAGTTCAGGTTTGGATTCTGCTGCAAAGCTGTCAATGAAATTTCTTTTATAGTCACACCTGCACTGTTAAAGTTTGGTTGTCCATCTCTTTGGGGCACAGAGAGACGTGTCTGTAGTTAGTAATTTTTCTTTTGCTGTCTGATTCTTTCAAGTTCAGATATTTTCTCTCCTGTATAACCTGTGCAGGTTAAAGTGGATTTTGATGACACAACTAGCTGGGAGTATCTCTTCAAGGTCTACTGGATTTACTTAAAAGCGAAGCTATCTTTAACAGTATTCGAGCTAACTAAAGCTAAAAATCCTTGGAAAGGAGATGAGCTACCTAAAACTAAAAGTTCATGGATAGGAGCTGGTGTGTTGGCTCCTAAGCAGGAGCCAACACGTGAATTTTGCTATGGTACTGATAATAAAGGCTCTTTTTTAGACAGCTGTGCTGGAAACCCGGAAGCAATACATGCTAAGAGAAGAAAAATGGAGGACCAACCAAATTTGCATGCAGAGAAGAGCTCTCTGGTTAGTGAAAAATCACGCATTGACCAAGTTATGCATCTGCCTGAAGGCACATCGTGGGCAACAAAGGAGTTATTGGAGTTTGTTTCATACATGAAAAATGGGGATATGTCTGTGCTATCTCAGTTTGATGTTCAGGGTCTTCTGCAAGAATACATAAAAAGAAACAATCTTCGTGATCCTAATCAGAAAAGTCACATTGTTTGTGATTCAAGGCTTATAAAGCTCTTTGGAAAAGAACGCATGGGTCATTTTGAAATGCTGAAGCTTCTTGAATATCACTTTCTTGTAAAAGAAAAGTCTCCAGCAGATAACACTGCTGTCATGGGAGTTTCTAATGCTGTTTGTGGCCAGGTCGAGGCTGCTGGAAATAGTGACTGTCAGTTAATGACAGGTAGTGATCGAAGGCGTAAAACACGTAGAAAGACAGATGAGAGAGGAGCACAGATTAATTCTAATCCAGAGGAATATGCAGCAATTGATGTTCACAATATTAGTTTGCTATACTTGAAGCGTAGTTTGATGGAGAACTTATTGGATGATGCTGGAAAATTTCATGAAAAGGTTGTTGGTTCATTTGTGCGAATCCGGATTTCTGGTGGTGATCAAAAGCAAGATATGTATAGGCTTGTCCAAGTTGTAGGTATTATTCCTAGCACCAGTGACCCAAATTATCTATCAAGAGGAGGAAAAAGAAATGCTTCAACATTTTCCTCCAACCCTGTTGTTAAACATATGTTTGACAAATTAACAAGTTACTGATTATTCCTTCTGCAGGTACTGGCATGGTCGCTGAATCATATAAAGTTGGCACAAGAACAACTGATGTCATGCTTGAAATATTAAATTTAGACAAGAAAGAGGTCATATCAATTGATGGGATTTCAAACCAGGAGTTCTCAGAGGTGACTAACTCACCAACCTAAATACATGATTCCTTTTCTGGTTCTGGATATAATTTTCCTTTTCTTTGACTGCTTACAGTTTGTAGAATGCTTCTTAACCATTTTGAGTGTTTGTTATGTGTTTCACTTGATAATGAGATTGTTATACTGAATTTTGTGGAGGATTCAATGCTAAGTTTGACATCAGAATTTCGAATGTATGTAACAAAGGATCGAAGTATTTAATGTTATGCGTACATACTAGAAAGGGTAACTTTTCGAAACATGGCACAAATGCTTGGGGGCATAACAAAGTGTGGGAGGACTGCTGATGCAGGAAACTATGAAGTTGTGTTTAGGGATGTGAACAGTAATGTGGGTTTACTGTAGGTGTGGGTTAGTGATGATTGTTTAAAGGAAGAATAACGAAGTTCCATTGCTGGAATTTGCAAGTAAGATGTAAGGAAGGATTTCTAGGAATTACATCTAGGAGGAGAAAAACCTGAGAATCCGATCTAGGGTCTTAGGAGTTACACCTATGATTGATGTAATCACAAAACTATGCAATTACTGGAAATTTCTGTGAAAGTTTGGAATTTAATAATTGAAAGGCAACTTGACTTAATTTTAGAGTTTTAGTACTCCTAATCCTATAAAAACTTAAAACTCCAAGCCAGAAAGCATAATTAATTTTTACTCAGAATAGGAAAGACCCCTATGAACTTGATTATTCTAGGACTACTAAGGTGCCAAATCTAAAATGAGACCCAAATTTCTACATTTTCTTCTAACTTGGAAAGTTTGGAATATCCCAGCAGATTTTAGAATACTGAAGTGCTCCAGAATTCTAGAACCGAATAAAATACACAAGGACCAATCATTTTCTGATTGCTGCATCAAATGTTATTTTTAATTATTGATGGATGTGCCAAGGCCTAGTTTCATGCTTTGTTGCCTGGATTATCTTGTGATCCGTGAGGAATGGTTCTTTCTGATCTTTAACCATCATGAATGCTTTACTTCATAGTAGCAGGTGATTCATTTACATTCCTCTTTTGATTTTGAATGACACAGTAGTAATGTAGGCAATAATTTGAAACGCCTATTTAATCAGAGAAGATATTTATCTCAGTTGATAGTGTGTTTTTGGAATTGAGTTCTGGAAACCACGGTCTGAAACAATGATTTTGTGTTTTTATTTTTCCTATAATTCTAAAAGCTTGATTAGAACCCAGACGTGTTTTTTTGGCTTTAGACCTACTTTTGTTGACTCTACCACAGCCATAGACACTTATAGGAATTATCAGGTGAGGTGTAGCAATTTGAATCCTTGTGAAAAGACATGTATGAGTATTCCTTCATTTTTGATGCGTTAACTATGTTTCCAGGATGAATGCAAACGTTTACGTCAGAGTATAAAATGTGGGCTTATCAAACGGTTGATGGTGGTGAGTTTTTCTGTGGTGTTCACTTCTATATTTCAGCTTAAACATATGTGCCCCCTTTGTCACAAGGTACTTTCTTGGTTATAGGGTGAGATACAGAAGAGAGCAATGGCGATTCAGGATGTCAAAGTTAGTGATGTAAGTTTTGTCCTGATAGTTGTGTATAAATATAACCCAGATTGCGATGACAGATTTCATGTTTTGTACAGTGTTATCATGGTTTTACATTGTTTTTCTCATTAAACTATCAAGTGTAATTACTGATCCTGATCTTCTCCTGTATATGGTCACACTCTTTTGATCCAGTGTCTGGAAGCAGAGATATTAAGGCTGAATCATCTTCGTGACCGAGCAAGTGAAAAGGGACGCAGGAAAGAATATCCTTTGCTGTATGAAATTCTGTTCGTTTTGGGGTTTTGATTTTTATCATGCTTGCTCAGCTTATTACTGGTTTTCATCAACCATAGTCCGGTTCAATGCTACACATGAAAATACACTTAAGCAATAAATTTCTCCTTGTATTTCATGAATGATAAGAAAATCGCAACTCTGGTGAGGGTGAGGAGCAGGATTAGTCGTCATCTACTTGATGTCATGATAGCACGACCAATGACTACTAGCACATGTTCCTGAAAATTCATAAGGCTTGTCCTTTCCTCCGTTTATTTTTGCAAGCTCATCCATCTCAACATCTTATAATTTGCTAGTTTTGTTCATGAAGTTTACTGCTTGTTGATTGCTTGGTCTGCTTGTTTGATATCATTTGCCTTGAATACTTTGTTTGATTGTTAGAGGTGCTTAGTGAGAAATAGATCTTCGGCTGTTGTTGCATTGGCTTTAACCAAAGCCTTCTGATGCAGGACTGATTTGAGGGCTGTTCTGGATCTGATTTTTGGAGGCTGTTTAGGGGTGTTTAGCGTTGTATTGAAGTAGGTTTCTGCTGGAATATGAGGAATTATGTGGGTAGAATTCTAGGAGTCACACCTAGAGGATAGAAAAACCCAAGCTTCACACCTAGGGTTCTTAGGAGTCACACCTAAGGAGATTTTTATTCATAAACTTCTCTTCATAATATTGAAAGGCTACATGCTTATTTATAGAGTTCTAGTAGTCCAAATCCAATAAGAAATTTGATTCCTAAGTAAGAAAATACTAAGTGTATGTAGAATAGGAAAAGAATTTAATAAAGCCACTTGGGTTGCCAACACCACTGTCTCCTTGCTATACTTATTTTCGTTAACATTGTGCTCAACATGTTTCTTCTTTGGTTCAGCTCCATCAAGTGTGATGCATAGCTCTTTAGGCTTTGTAATAACCTGATTAGAGAATTCCCTTTTTTCTCTTCCACTCTCCATATTATTGTCAATCTGAAATTCCTTTGTTTCTTGTTTAAACTTCCTTTTGGGAAGCAATTCCAAATATATTGTGCTATGAGAGGTTTAGTGGCTGTTTCAGCAGGATACTTGCTCAGGATAGCCTTTGTCAGCCTGTCTAATGCTGCTTGCACCTTATCGAACCTGGTAGTAATGGATTTTTCCATTGAATTCAACCTAGCTTCCGTAGAATGCAGTTCTGTTTCTAAATCTTGCTTGAAGGTTTTGCATTTTGAATTCAATTCAGTGACAGTTACCATGGTTGAAGTAGAAAGCAACAAAAAGCTTTTAGGATCTTGAAGCTCTGATACCAACTGATGCAGGACAGATTTGAGGGATGTTTAGGGTTGCATTGAAGTAGGTTTCTGCTGGAATATGAGGAATTAAGAGGATAGAATTCTAGGAGTTACACCTAGAGGATAGAAAAACCTAAGCTTCACACCCGGGGTTCTTAGGAGTCACACCTAAGGGAGATTTAGTCGCACAATCAAAAGCAAATTGCTGGAATTTTATTCATAAACTTCTCTTTATAATATTGAAAGGCTACATACTTATTTATAGAATTTTAGTAGTCCAAATCCAATAAGGACTTAGATTCCTAAATAAGAAAATACTAAGTCAATGTAGAATAGGAAAAAAATCTAATTACTCCTTAGGACTAATAAAATACTAAATAGAAAATAAAACCTAGACATAGACAAATTTCCTGATTTTTCAGAAATTAATGAAATATCCTTGTCTACAAAAAGACACAAGTTTTGTTTCCTTTGTTTTCTGCATCACCTTCTCTACTTATCATTCCTTTTCTTTTCTACCATCTTCTTGGTGATCAAACAGAGAACTGGATAGCATATTCAACATTTGCAACTGAGAGTGTTGTAGAAGTTTCAATTGATTGCCAGTATACCATTTTCTTGATATTTCACACACACAGACATAATAGAAGTTCATAAAGTGTTACTGTTCCTTGACTATGTTGCACGCTTAGAGAATGCGTGGAGAAATTAGAGCTTCTCAAATCACCTGAAGAGCGTCAGCGCAGGCTGCTCGAGATTCCAAATGTACATGCAGATCCAAATATGAACCCAAGCTATGAATCTGAAGAAGATGCTGGAGAATCACACAAGAAGAAACAAGGTCCCTAGCTATGATGTTGAATAATTTGATCAGTAGTTATACTTGAAGTTGTCTATGTAGAAAGTTTAGTTGGTGATAACTTTACTGGCATATATGCAGGTGACCATGCAAGACGAAGAAATTCTAGTGCTAGTAGAAATGGAGCAGAACTCAACTCTTCAATGAGAGGAGGTGATGTCTTGAGTGATAGAGGAAACATGGGACAGAATTCAGCTACCGCTGCTGAGCAGGATAGAGTTATGTGCACAACATTTTATGTGGATAGAGATGGCACTACCCTGTTTCACGAGAGAGTGAACGAGTCCATGCAGAGTCAGGGAGGAGAGCAAACTGAGCTAAATAGCCAGAATGCTCCAAAGAACTGGGTAGCTTCTACTGGTTCAGTGACTGGTGATTGGAATAGTCAAGCAATTGTACAATGTGGATCGTATTCTGGGGTTACATCATCGAATTTACCACCTCTTTCTACAGGAAGAGAGCTATTGGTTGATGATATCGAGACAGACAAACTGTGGCACTACCAGGATCCAACTGGAAAAACTCAAGGGCCATTTGCTATGGTCCAACTGCGTAAATGGAGTACAAGTGGGCTTTTCCCTCAAGATTTGAGAGTGTGGAAGATAAATGAGAAGCCCAATGACTCTATTCTTTTGACTGATGCATTGGTTGGGCGATTCCATAAAGAGGCAGCATTGCCTGACAACAGCTACTTACTGGCTCAAGGAGCAACTGTTGCTTCTGATAAAGATAAAAGGCATGAATCTGGTTTGCATCGAAGTAAAGATGCAGCTCAGGTAGACAATAAAACTGTTGCTTCTGATAAAGATAAAAGACATGAATCTGGTTTGCATCAAAGTACAGATGCAGCTCAGGTAGATGATAAAACTATGGATCACTGGAAGTCGGTGCAAAGCAATGCAAGTGTCGATTGTGATGATAATGATGAACTTCAAAGAAGTAATGCATGGGGCGTCCAATCTTCAAGTTGGACTACAGCAGCAAATGTCACCATTCCTAACAATGGACAGGCCGAACTTGCCCTACAACTCTTGGAATTGTCCAAGGGCTCTTCCAAGAGCTCTAAGGCTTTGCCTGATCAATCCCAGATGTGTAGGTCACTTCCATCTTCTGGAAAGCCTGGTGAAACTCCATCACTTCAGGTTAAGGAAGAACATGAGGATAAAAAAGGAGTTATGATCTGAGTGATGTAAATGGGAATTCACTCAAGAAGCATGAAGGTGAAAATAACATTGGCAAAAGTGATGATAAACAGGCTGATAGTGAGAGTTATTCAAACCAATCTTCTGGACAGAACTGGAGACCACCCATAAAAAGTTCTTCAAGCGGATGGGATTCCAACTCTGCTTTTGTTTCTGGGGATAAGTCTGTTGAAACATCTCAGAAGAATGAGGAAATTAATTTCTTTGATTTGCCCAGTCCAACACCAAAGCAGCACCTTGAGGACATGAAAGGTCTGACCGGTGAAAACAACCACTCCACTTCTTCAAAGCTCCCTGTTCTGGATTCAGGACCTAGCTGGAGTACTGCTTCCAGTTTAGTGGTGGGTGGAGCACGGCTAGCTGGAGTAGCTGGTGAATGGGGTGGCTATTCCTCTGCTCCCGTCAAACCTGTTGAGGAATGGGACTCCAATCATGTGTCCGCTTCTTCACTGAAACCTACAGATGGGGGCAGTGATCATGCTGCTACACCAACTCCTGATAGTGGCCCACTGACACACTCTCCCCCACCCACCCAGTGATCGATGCATCTGATTGGCAACCCATCATTCCTGAACCTACTGAGTTCTGCTCTTTAGTTGATGAATCTGTTTCAGATCTGTTGGCTGAAGTTGAAGCAATGGAGTCTCTTGGTGGTTTGCCTTCCCCTACTTCAAAATTGCGCTCTGCTGAGGAATTGACACGGGGTTATGATGATGATTGCTTTAGTCCTGTTGAGGGGTTTAGCCCAGCACCTGATCCAGGCAAAAGCGATGCATTCAGCTCAACTGCTGATAGACAAATACCTTCTCAGCTGACTGTAGCTAGCGAAGCACTGCTGTTGTGTCACATGCCTTCTCAGCCAACTGTTTTAGATAAACCACTTGGTGTATCTCTAATGCCTTCTCAGTTGACTGTAGTCAATGAATCACTTCGGATATCTCACACACCTTCTCAGTCCACTATTACAGACGAACCACTAGAGAAATCTCAAAGGCCTTCTCAATCGATTTCGACAGATGAACAACTTGGTTTATCGCAGACAGACTTTCCGAATCCTCAAAAGAGCTTCAGCGAACATTCTTCTACAAGTCCTGAAGTGGAAGGCAATATGAAGCCCAATGATTTTTCAGTTAACGAATGGGAAAAAAGCTCAGAAATACAGCCTCCTGCATCATCAGCTGGTAACCAGGGAGAATCAGGTTCAGACGTCCAACCTACAACTCCATCCACAGTCAGTCAATTGGAAGCAGGTTCTGACGTTCAACAGCCCACACCATCCAACAAAGATGGTAGTCAGGGAACCGTAAAGGGAAGAGTAGCACAAGGAAATACGAACATGGGTTGGGGAAACTGTCATGGCACAGTTCAGCAACATGCTAGGACGAATGCATCCAATTCTACAGGGAACCCAGGCAGTTGGGGAAGCCAACCAAGGTCTGGCGGTGACAGATTTTCTGGTCCAAGAGACCAGCGTAGTCATTTTCAAAGCAGAGATAGAGATTCTGGTTTTGGTAGAGATAGAACTTCATGGAACAGGCAGCCATTATATGGTGTTGGAAATGGAGGTAGTACATATAGACCTCCGCCCAAAGGGCAGCGAGTATGTAAATTTTACGAAAGCGGATACTGCAAGAAGGGAGCATCATGTAGTTATTGGCACCCATGATATTTAGTTTCCACTTTTCCATAGGAAAATTGTGTGCATTTAATTCCTGTAATCATTATTTGTATCACCAACCCTGCCTCCTTGCCAATCTTCTAATTTAACTTGTACAAGTATTCAGGTGGCATAAATACATATTGGTTCTTTGGACAGTCCAGCTTAGAGCTGCATGTTCCACAAACTCCTAAAAATTTTCTCACTTCCATAATTATCATGGCATCGTTAGAACTTTAAATCATGGTATGGAATTTTCTTTGGTTCATAGATATCGTTAGAACTTTAATTATCATGACAATCTTTCACACCATTCCTACAAATCATCAAATGCACATACAGGATCTTTAAGAGACAGGCTATGAAGGCAAGTTTAGCATCCTTTTTAATGCAGTGTATTTCTGAAGGCTGCTGCATTTTGAATCAACCCATCCGTTCTTGACCGAAAAGCAATCGACTAGCTTTCCCTTTAAATCTTAAGGAGACTTGAAAATATATCAATCAATTCATATCTGGTTTAAAATAAGTGGATGATTTGTTTAAAATTCAATTAAATAAAACTTTAATGTTGGATATATAAGAACCAAGCCTAGCGAACCTTACTGTTCAGAAAAAGAAAAAGAAAAAATTAAATTAAATAATTTTTTATTTCCATGCAATCCCCGCTTTTTGTAAGAGAGGGAATAACCAATATTTGTTCTTAAAAAATTAACCATGGAGTATAAAACTTAAGCCAGGAAGCTCTCCGCGTTTGAAAGCAGTCAAATGAAAAACAGTTTTCTTTCCGTGCTATGCAAAACTAGATATAAATAACAGAATCAACGACCCAGCATTTTGATTGTAAAGCTTCGAAACGAAGAGAAGGAGAAGACCATTTCAAACCATCAGCGATCACTCAAAAAAATGCTTTCTACGACGACACGGATCCTTTAAAACGACAACAAAATCCAGTCATGTCAGCCTCAACGACGTCGTTTTTATCGCCGACGCAGAGATACGCAGCCGGAGCACTATTCGGAATCGCTGTCAACCAAGCACAGATCCATCAAACCCGTCCGCTTGGCTTGTCCTACGATGATTCGGTACAAGAGGAACGAACCAGTAGCAGCAGTAGTCATAGTAATTGCAGCAGTAGTGATTCCGTCTCTGAAGACCCTGACCTTTGGGTCCACGAAAATTCGGGCCTCCTCCGACCCGTATTCAGGTCCAATTCTTTTGTAATTGATGAAATTGTGGTTTTTATTTTTTGTGTTAATTTAATTTAGAAGCGAATTATTATTATTTTTGTGTAATGTGGATTAGGTTTTTAGAGATTGATTCAGTAGCGTGGCCTGGACTTCAAGAGACAGCTGGTGGTTCTCCTGCTAAGCATCATGTTGGAGCTGTATGTCGTTTTTAATGCATCGTTTTTTTTTAATAATCTTTTTTATGTAATTTATTGTTTCATGTGTTTATTTTGATAGAAATCAGCAGATTTTTACCATTCTTTTTTTGGTTGCTTATTTAGCATGTAAAGCTCATGAGTTGTTGCTCAATTGAAATGTTGTTTTCCCCATTCTGATTAGATTCCCGGGTTTGAATCTCATTGGAAAATAGAAAAAAAAAAAAAAGAGAAAAAAAGATAGAATAAGTACTTGTGTTTAACTTCACTGTTTTTTTCCCCCACATTTTCTTCTTTATTTGGTTTTTAGAAAGAAAGGGAAAGCCTGTGCTACTACTGTACATTTTTTTTTCGCTCAGGTTTCAGCATTTGTGGGTCTCATGCGGATTCTAAATGATGAACTCACAAATGGTGAAATTTGAATGATAAGATGTATGTACAACAGGAGGAGAAAATTCCTGTTTGACTTGGTGCTGGTGGATTTATGATGTTATCTGATTTGGTATTACTATATTTGTAACTGCATTGTGTTTTGATTATGTCTTAGTTCTTGAGGTTATTATCGGAAGAAAGCGGTGATGCATCTTCTTCTCAAAGTTTGGAGCAGGAAGTTGCTTTATCGAAAGGTGTTGATGTTATGGAACAAACCATGGGAGCTGATCCTGTGTCTTCCCAATCTAAGAAGGAAAAGCATAAGGAGTATGAGACTCAATGTCGTGAAAAGTTATCTACTGGCAGTGAGGTGAAATCAACCTCTGAGGTCGCAAATGAGCCATTAAAACCTGCAAAGGAGAAGGATGGCCATTATGCTGATGTTAGTGATACAAATCAAGACTCTGGACTTAAAGTTGATGAGAAGCCAATTGAAGAGGAGAAAATGCTTAGTTATCATAGGAAAGTGACAGTACTGTATGAGCTTCTTTCAGCTTGTCTGGCTGATAGACGTGAAGAGAATAAAAAGTGCACCCGAAAAAGAAATGGCTATGATGCTCGACATCGTGCGGCTCTGAGATTACTGGCAACTTGGCTTGATATTAAGTGGACAAAAATGGTTTGTGCACTCAATTCTTATTAGCAGCTTTCATAACCATTCTTATGCTTGGTGGTTGGTGTGCATATCCCTTCAGCTTTATATGCCTTTGTACTTGGGCACTATCCTAGGGATTTTTTTATTTAGATTCTGTTTGGCATGAGGTGAAAAATTTGGAGGTAAGATGTTAAGGTTTTAGTAAGATTTAATTGTAAAATGTGTGAAAGTGTTATTAGGAGTACAAAAGTTTTATGGGTATTGTAGGTCCCAACAATATTTAAGGCAAATTTCAAATTAGATGTGGTTAAAAAAATTTAAAAAATTATATATTTATGGTTTTCAAATGCAAGGTAAGCAAAAGAGAAAAAGTATGGCTGCAAAAAATAAAGAAAGAGAGAGAAGATGCATAAAAGACAAACTTTCCCTCCCCCATAAACCCCAAACGGGTTTGGTTGTTAAACCCCTTAACAATTCCCCTTTCCCTCTGACTTCACCAAAATTAAAGGATTGGACTCATGATCCTCATAACAAACACAACCTAGTGAATTTACTTAATTAAAAAAAAAATGATCACAAACATTGCTTTCAGCTGTGTATTCTGCATCTGAAAATTTTATCAAGTCTTTATTTGATGTTGGGCTAAAATTTTTTTCCCTTTGCAGGAAGCCATCGAGTTGATGGTTGCTTGCTCTGCCATGGCTGTAGCAAAAGAGGAAGCATCCAAGGAAGAAGCCAAGTCATCTAAAAGCAAATGGGCTAAATGGAAGCGTGGTGGTATCATTGGTGCGGCTGCAATAACTGGAGGAACCTTACTGGCCATTACTGGTGGTATGAAACTCTAGTCGTGTTTACTTGGGAATAATTTTATCAGATATCGAAATTGAAATGACCATGTTATTGCTCCATTGGTTTTTACTTTCTAGTTCACATTTTACAGGATTAGCTGCGCCTGCAATTGCTGCAGGATTTGGTGCTCTAGCTCCAACGTTGGGCACTATTATCCCTGTAATTGGAGCTAGTGGATTTGCAGCTGCTGCAAGTGCCGCAGGAACTATTGCTGGGTCTGTTGCTGTTGCTGCATCATTTGGAGGTGAACAATGGATAACATTGCCTCAGGTTCTAAAGGAACCTGCCCTAAGTTTTTATATGATTGCTTGGTGATGGATTATTTTTTTCCCTTCTTGTTGACATCTTTTTTCAAACAGCTGCTGGAGCTGGACTAGCAGGGACCAAAATGGCTAGGAGAACTGGAAGTGTTGATGAATTTGAATTCAAACCTATAGGAGAAAACCATAACCAAGGCGTAAGTTTATGCTGTTTCCATTTTTCTCACTTAGCTCACCCTCTCTGTATGCTTTCTTCATAATGTACAAAGTCAACCTTAGATTTCTATTTAAACTTTTCCATCAGCGACTAGCTGTTGGGATTGTGGTCTCAGGATGTGTCTTTGACGAGGAAGATTTTATAAAGCCTTGGGAAGGACGAAATGACAACTTGGAGAGGTAAAGACATCTCGTGCTCTAGGTTTCTCTTCTTTGCACCTTTACTCCATCTGAATTTATCAATGTTTAGTTCTTTTATAATTAAATAGCAAATGCTTGTATGCTTCCGTAAGTTGCAATTCTCGTTACTTCCTAGGATGTATCTTCAAGAAATGATTTGTATGAAAAATCTGAATCAGAACAATGCTCTTTATTCATGTAATATGTACCCAAAGTAATTGCTTGCTCTAACGACTTTCTCTATTTTGCATTTTTCCTTATGTTTGTTCTGCTTTTATTGACTGGATTTTTGTAAAATATTTGTAGAACTTGCATCCAAAACATTTTCTTACCTTAGTGCTCATTTTGCATTTTCCTCTGTTTGCTATGATCTGATCTTATGTTATGATGCTCAAAATTGGATTCACAAGTCACATCTCTTAACTAATAAATTTTTTAGTTATGCGCTGCAGTGGGAATCTAAGAATCTAATTGCAGTGAGCACTGCTATTCAGGATTGGCTTACTTCAAGTAATTGGTTTTCACCTGATGGCTGCACCTTGTTTTTCAAACTAGTATTTATATCTAATATAATGATTGCAGTTTTGTCTTCTGTTGATATTGGTGATACCTGCTGTAGGACTTGCAATGGAGTTGATGAGGCAAGGTGCAATGCTGACCGTGTTAGGTACACTTTTGGCAGCATTGGCCTGGCCAGCAACATTACTTGCTGCTACTGATTTTATAGACAGCAAATGGACAATTGCTATTGACAGGTTAGCTCTCCTTTATTAACTATATGTGGGATACGTAGATGAAAAGGGGGAATAAATGCCTTTCCATTGCATACAACTCTCTTTTTCTCGCATCTGGAGCCTTAAATTAAAGTCCTGAGGGGAAATTGGTATTAATAGAGTAAACTTGCTTCCATAGAATTTTTTCATGTTAATTTTTCAACTATTGAATTTTCTGCCTTTTTCTAGATCGGACAAAGCAGGGAAGCTGCTGGCTGAAGTGTTACTAAAAGGGCTGCAAGGGAACAGGTAGGTCATAATTGGATTGAAATCATATGCGTCATTTTTAGCTACAATGCTGCCTTAAGTGTTCTATTTTTTATCAATTTCATCTTGAAGTCATTTCTTAGTTAACATGTCACATCTAGTGATTTATTTTCTATTAAGTTCTATCTTGGGCTTTCCGTGACTCTTCAGGCCTGTAACACTTGTGGGTTACTCACTTGGTGCACGTGTAATTTTCAAGTGTCTTGAGACTTTGGCCGAGACAGAACATAGTGGTAATTTACCCTGATCATTTTTAAATCGAGCTTTTAGAATTCTAGACTGATCTTTAATGCGATTCTTCTGATCTGACAGCGGAAGTTGTAGAAAGAGTCGTTCTTCTTGGAGCGCCCATCTCTATTAAGGACGAGAAGTGGGAAGCTGCAAGAAAGGTGACTGGAGATCTCTCCTTGAAAGCATTTTCTCTGCTGTTCCTTGGTCAATTTTGCTACATTATTTATGAAATTCTACTTACATCCTACTGTTTTGCAGATGGTGGCTGGAAGATTTGTGAATGCTTACTCGACCAGTGACTGGACTCTTGGAGTTGCTTTTCGTGCAAGGTATGCTTGATGCACGATGCTCTAGTGTTGGTGTGAGCATTACCTGATGCTTTTGATCTGAAGTTGTGTATGTTTTCTAGACAAACAAATTATCTGACTTCAAAAACTAACATCTAGTTTTTACTGATAGCCTACTCACTCAAGGATTAGCTGGAATCCAACCAATTACCGTTCCAGGGATTGAGAATGTAAGCCTCTGTTTACTTTCTCCTTCCCTTCCATTGCATTTTGTTTTTCCTTATAACTTAGTTTATCTATGATGGAACATTTTGCAGGTAGACGTAACTGATCTTATTGAAGGCCACTCTTCCTATCTATGGGCAACACAGCAGATTTTGGAACAGCTTGAATTGGATGCTTATTATCCTGTTTTCAGGAGCTCTCCTCCTCGTGAACCGAGAGAGTGACATTTCCACAGGAGGAGCTAATGTTATGCATCGAGCTCATTCACCCCATAGTTTCATGTCTTGATTTTTCGTTGTTCTTACAATATGTATATATTACCACCCAAAAGAAAATTTAAAATGTGTTGAATTTTTGTCAGAAGTGCAAAATAATATTGGCTTTTCCTCGAAGAAAATAAAAAATAAGTGGACAAGCTAGGCAGTTGTGAAGTGAGTAGACTCTCTCCTCTTCTTTCTGGTTTTGTCTCTAGTTTTCTTCTTTGGTTTTGCCTCAGTATATATCTTGTTCTTTCTTCTTCCATGTAAACTGAATTGATACAATTTAAGCATTGTTTTTCTGATTTTGCATTTGTAGCTTAAGCTACAGTTTTATATAGAATAAAGAATTCTTGTTTTCTACTTGTTTTTCTTGCAATCTTCATGTTTTTCGATTGATTAGGGATTTGGAGTTGCATCAATTGGTATCATCTCATCTGTAGAGGAGACAATTAACAATCATGGCTAAAGGAAGAGCTGATTTGAAAAAGGTGGAGACATCTATTGCTTCACTTATCAAGATAATCATTGAGCTCACTAAAAGATGTGGTTCTGTTTTTAGCATAACATAATCAAGAAATTAGTGAATTGGTAAGTGGACTTAGGAGTCCAAGCGACGTTAATGTTCATGATAGGTTGCACGATGGAGGATTAGGAAATTTGAATGGGAGTAGCTATCAAGTTCCTAGGTATGGATATCCTACTTGAGGAATGCAGATTGGATTGGTGAATAATGGATATGTAGGGGATAATTTTGGGTGTTAGTCTAACACTAGAATTACCAGGGTAGAGTTTCCAATATTTTCTAGAGAGGATTTAACGGATGAACTTTTAGGTGTGAAAAGTTTTTCATGATTGATGGGACTCCTCGAGAGACTAGGATGAACTAGACTGTTATAAATTTGAAAGAGGAAGCTTTAGAATGAAGTCGTGTGTTTGTGAGGATGCATCGAGTTAGTTCAGTCTTTTTTCAGCTTTATAATGACAAACTTAATGACCCTATGACCGAATTGATAGGATTAAAACAAACACATGATGTTCAGTCTTTTTTTAAAAAATTCATCTATGTTGTTAACAATTTGGTTCTACCCGAAGGCTATATTATTAGTTGTTTCATTGATAGTTATAAACTAGAATTACAAATATCAATCGAGTTATGGTACTAAAAACTCTCGAAGAAACAAGTGGCTTTAGCCAAACTTCAAGAAACTAATTCAAATATCCAACATAGCCCTAACGTATTCAATACCAAAATTTCTCCATGTTCGAGTAAGAAACTAAATTTTAATATTCTTATGTTTGGCTAGAAAACTAACCCAACCAAAGCTTTTAGACCATCCAATCCTATGAATCAAAACTCTAAAATGAACTACCAAAGCAACATCAACAACAACCGAGAAAGTTCTATTATTACCGTTCTCAATTCTAGAATGGTAATTTTATGTTTAGAATCTGGAAATTTCCTAACAACAATGAACTGGATGAAAGGAGGTTAAAGAGGGAGTGCTATTTTTGTAATGATAAGCATATATTTGGCTATAAATGTAAAGGGAGACAAGTTTTTATATTAAAAGTAGAAGATTGTGGGGTTGGTGAGAATGAGAATGAAGTGGTTGTAGAAGAAAATGTGAGTGGAGAATTTGAGAATGTGTTAAGTTTTGTTGGGTAGTTGTATCAAATTTTAACGTATGCAGCTTTAGGAGAGGAGCATTATCAAACAATGAATGTTATGAGAGACTTACATAGTAAAAGACCGAATATTTGTGTAGATATCAATTCCCAACGTGACAATGTCATTGACAAGGTGATGATATTCAAATTATGATTATTAATAAAGTGGCTTCTAACCTAAACCGATTATGAATGATAATTCTATGACGAGTACCTACAAAATAAGTTTTTTGGTGGTTGGAGGACTATCTTATGGCTAACTTAGTTTACAAAGCCTAAGTAGGTCGTAAAAAATTAGCTTTTGTATGTAGAAAATAGTTGATAATATGATTATTTTAAGTTCGGGAAACAAAAGTTGTAACATTTAGCCTATTAGCTTTTATATATGAGAAGATGATGATCAACTTATAAGAGATAAGGGTAGAGCAATACTTTTTTTAATACTTAACAATTTCTTACATCAATTTGAAAAATATCTCGTTTTTTATGTAGATCCTTTATCATTACACGATTAGAGAGCCTTCGCAGTCGTGGTTGATGATTCCGATATTATTTACAAGATATATTTTTATTTCGTACTTTTTATTTTTTGATTAATGATGTCTAATGAAAAAAACAAGAATTCGTTTCGGATGGTGTGTCGAATTTTTTTAATTTTATTAATGGAGCTCTAGATATTAGTTCAAATGTAGTTATGGAGATTGAGCTTTATTCCCTACGTGTCATTTACCATTATCTTCGTAGGTTTGATATTTATGGTTAACTAGGTTTTCTCTAGAAGAATTTCTTTTCTTCTTTATATCATTTAATAATAGTATAGTGTATATGTCTATATATATATATATATATATATTTTTTTTTTTTTTTTTTGGGGGTTCATCAGAAAGTCTAGATATAGGTTTTGGGGTACATGATAAGATTTGCTCTCTCTTACCATATAATCACTAAATAAATTATAATAATTAGAACTCAAACCTAATTTATTAAATGAAATTACCGAATATACCGCCGTGTTGTCAAGTACACAATTGTTATATTATATCTATTAATGCAAACCCAAATCACAATAAATTGTGCTGTTTTTGTGACCATTCCATATCCACATTCTTATTTTTCACTCGACAAAAGGACAAACATATATAAAACACATCACGAATAGACACAAAATAAAACCCTCAACGTTCAATCCAATTACTCCCCTATCTCGACTATTGAGTGAGTGTATTACCATAATTTCAATTATCCTCTTCGTGTTATAATTTTTGTTATGCATTAGCATGATAAATATTAATATTTTTTAGAATATTTGAGCCAATCCTTTGGAAATATTTCTTAGTCTCGCTCATAGGACAATTAATCTCAGTATATGCAAAAACTGTTTCGAACACACATTCATTCAGAAAATTTTAGAAGTAACTAATCACATATACAAGTAATTACTCTATGGATCAACTTTTAAAAAAGAGATAGACACATTAAATTACATTCAGATCTATAAAAATGATACGAAGATTTTTACATTCTCTTAATATTTTTTAATTCTCTCTCTTATTTTTTTTATCTATCTTTTTTTCAAAATAAATCTATAAAATAATTATTATATATGTGATTATCATTAGTTAGTATTATAAAATTTCTCCGTCCAAATTAAAAAAATAAAAAAAGCATAATAAAGACCGACACAAATCCCTGGACAAACAAATAGGAAATAGAGAGGCATAACAGAAACAGTAAATCGCAAAGAAGAGAAAGAGAGGCATAGGCGTAGGCATGGACAGTAATAAACGAGAAGGAGAAGAAGAGAAAAAGCAAAGCGAGAAACTAAAACAATTTCAAAATCAAGAGGGAGGAAGTTCTGGTTTGAAAGGGAAATCATGCAAAGGATATCTATATTATTCTTCAACTCTCAAATCTAACGGCACCAATCCTCGCTGTATTGGCATCCCTCGTTCTCTCCCTCGAAGTTAGTATTTTCAATTTCAATTCCCATTCTTTATTTATGATTCTTCTCTTTCTCGGATTAAATTTGGGATTTATTGAGAAAGTAAGGTTAGGTGTGGATTTTTTTGGGTTCTTGAAAAGAATGAGAGAAAAGGGAAGGTAGGTTTACTTAATTTTATTTGTTGATTGTCCTCAAAACTGGTGAGGTTTAATTTAATGGGTTTCTGTGTCTTCTTGTGTTTGAAGAAATTAGGGGGAAGAAATAAATTATCGCATAAAGTTAAAATAGAAAAATGCTTAGTTAGCTTCTTTTGAAAGATATCAATTTTATTACTTGAATGAATAAGGGTTTGGAATAGCAATGCACGTTTCCTTGATCAGTTGAGTGTAAAATTTGATTGGCTGTAGTAAGGCAAATAACTAATATGATTGCAGTCCAATCAATTTGAGACATAGTGGCTGGAAAAAACACACATCAGGAATTGATCATGTTGGTGATCGAGCAACTGAAAAGGGGTGGAGGAAAGAATATCCTTGCTGAGCTCTTATTAACTGGTTTGCATCAACCATATTGAGTGTTGATGCTACATTATGGCCATCATTTGTTTCACTAAGGAAATGGGAATAGGATTCTGATTCCGTTCCAAATAGAAACATGCTTTGATTTTATCTGAGTTCATATGTACTTGTACTGCAGTTCTAAAGAAAGCTAGTAATTTATTGCTCTTGAAATACAATATCTCATTACTTGTTAAATCTTAACCCTTGTTATTGGTTGAACCAAAAAAAGTTGCCCAGGGATTCTCATTCCATTCCCAATCCAAAGTGAACTGAACGTGGCCTACATGCTTTGATTGTGGTCCATTGCTCCATTTGTACTGTTTTATGTTACTTACTCATTATGACATTCTGGGGGTTGGGAGAGCTGACTGTTTTAGGGATATTGGAGAAAATAACTTGATGGTGATGGTTTGTAAATTCACATTCACATTGCCATTGCTAATTATGTTGACAAATAAGCACTTTAAGTTTGTGATCTTTGTTTGACTTAACATAAAGCAATACCCATTCTTTTCCATACTTCAGCAATTGGTTTGGCCCACTTACCATTCTTACAAGGTTGCAGTTTCCAATGTAACTTCTATTCTTGATTAGTTAAGTATAAAATTTAATTCAGTTGTAGAAAGGCATGTAATGATTACGATGGAGGTTGGCTTTTGCAAGAGATTATATGCTTAATGAATGGAATGTGGTGCATTATTTTTATAGCTAGTGTAGCTGGTGAATGTTTCTCGGTTGTTCACCATGACATACTGAGAGTTAGGAGATCTAATTGTTTCTAAGTGCAACTGTTTATGGCATTAATTCCTACACTGCTATTGCTAATTATGTTGAAAAGATGTTTGATTGAGTTTGGAGATGTTTGATAATTTCAGTAGCTATATGCATGCTGTTGCTGTTGAATTCTGGTGCCTTTTGATATGTGCTGATATCTGGGTTTTGTGGCCAGTTCCTAATTATGTTGGACAATCTGAGGATGAAGCTTCAAAAGATGGGCGGGCTCTTACAGATTTTTATTATGGTTGTGCTGGGTACTCTGTTTACTTCAATAAAGACCGCTCAACTGATAAGCAAGTGGAAAAAACAGAACTTCCAGTCTGTGTGGGTCTTGAGGTATACTCTCTCTCTCTCTCTCTCTGTGCATGCTTGCACTTGTGTTTGTTTAAATCATCAGGTGGCTTATGCCTTTAACTTTCATGGCAGTTATTATTTCAAAATAATTTTGAAGTATAATAATTTTTGTGATCTACTCTCCCAATAATTTAGCGAACGTTATTAGTAACTGCACTCTCCCAGTAACTCTCATTATTTACTGTTACCTATTGAATATGGGTTCTGTCATTTGGGAATCTTTGGTGTGACTTGCTTTCTTGAATTTGTCTCTGGCCAAGTGACAAGATGCTTGAGTGGGCACAGAATATTAAAACTATTCTCTTGTGTTTTATCCTTTCTTTTGATAAAATGACTAACACAAGTTTTTGCAGCTTTTAGTGGATAGAAGAGTTGCTTCTGCAGATAGTGCTTCTGCTCCGGCTCATATCCACCATAAAGAAGGTAAGCATATCTTTGTGTTTATGCTGCATGTTATTCCATGTTCATTTTAGTGAAGTCAAGTTCTCCAAGAACATTTCTTGACTTGCAAATTGTGGGGTCTGACTGTTTGATTCTTCCCAAGTTTTTCAGACATACGAAACTGATTGTTCAATTCTCTTGTGAGGTTAAAACAAGGGCTGTTCTTGTCATCATCTTCTTATTATATATTTAAACAAATTGTTCCTACCATCATTCAAATTCTATTAGAGGATCCCACTCTCTTCATTAGATGAATCTCATATCTGTTGCATTCTGATAATGGTTTTTTTTTTTTTTTTTTTTTGACTATTTGTCCTTACAAGAAGATATTAAATAAGCTCTTGACTCCAACAATGTATAAGTTTCCATGCTACTCATTGTCCATGATAGTGATCTTTGGTTTGGGATCATGATTTGTCAAATTCTATTCTTGAAGGGCAGTACTTGATGCAAAATATTCTCTCCAAATTTACCTTCTTAGGAACCACTTTGGTGGAATTGAATTGTATGAGGCCTTTTTAATGGGACTTGGACAATGAAAAATGAAAGAGAATACTCCAGGCAAAATCATAGATGGTCTCTCAGTGCATTCTTTGATACTTCCTAAAGACATTAACGACATTCTTATAGTTCAATCATTTCCTGGAATGGTAAATCACTTCATTGTCCATATCTCACCTATTTAACTTTTGGCAATTGTTTGTTTGAAGATGGTCGTGAATTACCTCAGCCTCAGCCTCGACGTGAATTGCCTCAGCCCCGAGCACGGAAACCTGCGAGTTCTGCAGCAGATGATTTTTTGAACAGGCAAGCTAACACTTTCAATTGTTTGTGTATAATGATTGTCAATATACTAATGAATGAACACTAAGTATCAGACTCTCGCAAAACTGTAGATATAAGAGGAATGCAAGCCTGGTTGCATCAGGGGTGGCCAAAAACATGAGAAGAATGGGGAATTACATAAAAGAGAGTGTGGATGATATCTTGTACCCTTACAGACGTCGACCGAAGTAGGCCATTCATCCTCGAATTGATGCATGGAGGAAGAGAACTGGCCTGATGATTTAAAAACATGCTTCATCCTAACCTGTGCCGCTCACTTTCTGATTAATGCATAATTTTACTCCTCCACACCTTTCCATCATATCAATAAAACAGTGTTGCAGGTGGTAGATGAAGATGCTGTTATTCATTCACCAGAACAGAATTTATGGTTAATGCCATCTATTGTATTTAAAGCCCAGGTGGGGTGGGTGGGGGGTGACCAAAAACTCTTTTTGTATGATACAGTGAGCCGATCTTAAAATTCTTGATGGTAATATTGTTCATTTCCTAAAGACTAAATGTGCTACCCTCCGATATGCCTGTCATTTTATAAACAAGATTTGGTTGGTTTCTGTGCCAAATCTTTTGTAGCACCACAAGCACCTCTGTACAGGTTAATGTAGTGCAGGTTGACTGGATTACCTTCATGGTGACTGAACCGGGAAGCCTATGCATGGTGGTGTTGGGAAATATATTAATATTTCAACCATCATGAAGGCTTATTACTATTTTTTTCAACCTTTTCCTTTTCCTCATTTAAACCGTGGATCTTTTTCTTTTAGATAATGTGCATATAATTGAAGGATCTGTTTGTTTTGTGAGTACTTTTTCATACAGATAACACAACCCATTGAAACCAATAATTAATTAATAAATCGTTATTGTTTTCTCCATTGTTTACTTGAATGATTTAAATCATAGTTGTCTTTGGCACCAAATGTTAGCTTTCTTAAAATTCTCACATAGTTGCCAAACATGACTAATTGCAAGCTTAGTCACTCTATCCCACCAATTTTAGCTCAAAATCACTTTTTTTTTCCTGAATTCCCATTATATCGTCATAAGATACATTCTAATAAATTATTGTTCCATTGGACCTATGGATCATATGAGATAAGACCTTCACATTTATACACAGTTTTTTTTTTACATATATAAAATTTTGAATTCGAATTACTTATTTTAACAACTAGAAGGTATATTTTAATAGATTATTACGAATTGCAAGCTTAGTCACTCTATCTCACCAATTTTAACTCCAAATCGCTTCTTTTTTTTTTTTCTTTTTAATTTCCATTATATGGATAAAAAGTATATTCTAATAGATTATTGTTCGATTGAACGTATGATTATATCCAAATCACTTATTTTAATAATTAGAGCTTTCTATTCAAACCAAGTCGCTAGGAATTCAATAAATCCTAATTTAGAAACTACTATAATTAAAAAGAAAAAAGAATTTCTTGAAACGCACATTTTTTTAGCTAAAGAAACGGACGTTGAAGGAAAGCAGTCGGCAATATTTTTAAAAAAACTTCCCTTCCCTTGCTTTCTTTCATTCCTTCAAAGAACCAGCCAACCGCCAACTCTTTCTCTCTCTCGCTCCCTCTTCTGCTCTGCCTTTTAATTAGTTATTATCATCAACAAAGATATATAATTCTCTCTCATTGTGCTTCTATTTCGATCTTGCAAAAGCAGGTGAGGAAAAATATAATTTTCAGCTCAAAAAATCATTTTCATTTGATTTTCTGAATATAATTAACGCATGAAGGATTTTGTTTTTCTTCTATGCAATTTCTATTGTTTTTTTTTTTTTTTCATTTACTAATCTTCTTTGTGCCCTTTTGTTTTAAAGAGGAATTATAGAGCTTGAAGATCAATTTTGAAGAATTTGGTTTTTCAAATAATCGAATGGCTGCTGCTGCGGCTTGTAGGCGTGTTGTGGGTTATCAATTTGGAAGTACTTCAGGAAGTATTGGTTTCGGTAGAGGAGGATTTGGTGCTGCTTCTCCTTCAAATTTGGGTTTGATTTCTCAAAATAGGCGGATTTCTCAGCATGTGAACTCTAACGGCAGGAGATTATTTCTTGTTGATACATTAGCCCTTGTAAGTTGTAATTTACAGCAAACCCATTTCTTTTTTGTTACTTACATTAATGGGTTGCATTGTTTCTATATATTCGTTCTCTTATTTGCTTATGAAATTGCAGCAAGGATATGTAAGAAAGATAACAACTCGTGAAACAGCATTGCTAAATTTATTATTGAACTGGGGAAAAAATTGGGGAGAGTTTTAATTCCTATAATTTGTTTCGTTTTATTCATTTCGTAGTATGAATAATTCGTATGCATCTTTCTCGATGGGCTGGTCCAACGTAGGGCCTACAAGATGATTAATCGATTAATACTAAGATTTGAGTACTGAAGATGAATGGTACAATGAGAAAAGTGAAAGTGCACTACTTGGAAGCCGAATGTGGTTCTGTAAGCTTTTTTTTTTGTGATAAAAGGTTGAATGTTTGCCAAATGATGTGTGTTTGTTGGGTTTAGGTTAGGAGATTGGAGTCGCAGGGTGTGCCTTCGAAGCAAGCTGAGGCAATAACAGCTGCTATAACTGAAGTTTTGAATGATAGCTTGGAGAATGTGTCTCATTCAGTTGCCTCAAAGGAAGAGATGCAAAAAGTAAGGTTCTTTATGTGGTAGTTTTAGGTTTCCTCTTTTCTGTTATGCTGGCATGGATTAATTAATATTTGATGTAGCTAGATTTTGAATGAGCTATTTGTGCAAGCAGTTCGATTATGTTATAACTGTATCTTCTTCATGTCTGTTGTTGAAATTGTGTGATTTTTTTTTTTTTTTTTTTTTTGGTAGAATGAAATGATTCAAGAAACCAGCTTGTCGAAATTCAGATCTGAAGTCCAAAGCTCTCAGGTACTCACTGACTTTTTGATGTTGTTTTCGGATGTGAATTTGATGAGCTTTTAGCTGAATCTGACATTTGTTGAGTTTGATTGAGTAATTGAAAGTCTGGCGCTGTTTTGATGATGTTCTGCAGCTGGATTTTATAAATATTGCTGATTGATGCTAGTAGTGTCAGTGTCAAGTGTAGTTTGCTTATATAAAGACCATGGAATTATCAATGGGTGCTCAAGTATGTTAATTCAGTTCAATTTTTTGGTATTTGTGTTCTGTATAATTGGTCCTTTTGTGTCTTGGCAACATTGGTAAAATGTAAATAGGAGTTGTCTCTTCTCTGATATAGTAGTTATCCTTATTTTCTTTATGAAGGATGAGCACTAAAAGAAATTCATTTGGACTCTGATACTCTCTAAAACAATTGATTATTCCATGTTGAACAGGATAGCCCTTCTTTGTGCATTCAATCAACTGGATGTCCCTAAAAATTGAACTGCTTTGTTGTGGTTGAAGAACAATTCCAAAGAACTGAAAATCTTTTATCCATTGCTCTTTTCCTCATGTATATTCTGATTTCTGGGTCTCCATCATGTGGGCATTGGAATGAATTTCAATAAAATGCAATGATTACTTTTGAAAGATAACCTCATGAGACCATAGTTTCAAATAACGCTTGTTATATAACGTAATGGTCTTTATTTAACAGATTCGGACATGTGCTCGTTATCATTGGACACAATTGTAGGGAACACAGTGGCTTTTCACACAAATAATGACGTTATAAGCCGTTGCTGTTATGTAATGCCATTATTTGCTGTCATTTGGTGAATAATGACCATTATATTTATCTATCTATTTGTGTATTTTATTGTTGTTTTTGTAGTATGAAATTATTAGAAGTATTATTAACTTTTGTTTGTAATAAATTTAACTATTGTTATATGATATTAAATTATTAGAGGTGTTATTATTATGTTTAATTAATAAAACTGTTAAAAATATGTGAATTAGAATAAATTTATTAAAAACAGTTAGCCTACTAATACATTCACAACAACAGTTGTTGTGACTATTATTTTACTATTGCAATAAACTGTGACCTGCAATCATGATTAAAACTATGCATGAGACTCCCTGAAGTGGAGATATGTTTGATGTTAACCTTATTTTCTTGTTATTTGTTTGATCCGTTCCTTGAGAACAAATTAAAAAATATCCGAACATCAGTTCCTTGCTTTTGTTTTTGAATGTTCGGGTATGATGCAGCCATTCAGAACAATAGTGCACTCTAACTAGAGTTTCCATTCCTGGTATGTTTGATGTTACTGGAACGAATATTTTATTGCAGGAACACCATTTTTCTTTGTTGCAACATGAGACTGAAAAACTTCGGAATGACATCGAGAAGATGCGCAGTGAATTGAGGTCTGGTTTATAGATTTACCCTGCATGCTGGATTCGCTTCTTATCAATCTTCATCATGCTAAGCCATTTACTGTGATTCAGGCACGAAATTGACAAAGTTACTGCTGGTCAACGGTTGGATTTGAATCTTGAAAAAGGGTAAGGAACACAATTACTGAAATTTCTTTGCTCCACCAACTAAATCACAGACATGAGTTTTTTTCTTGTGGTTGTACAACCTTTCCAGGCGGATAAGGGAGGAGCTGGCAAACCAGAATGCTGAAACCACCAACCTCACTAACAAACTTGATGGCGTGAGTATTCTGAGTGAATTTGATAAATAATATGGTTTATTTTATTGCAACTTTAAAACGTGCCCTTTCTATGTCATAATTCCAGGAAATTCATGGTTTAAGGGCCCAATTGGAAGCAGGAAAATATGAAGTGATAAAGTATTGCCTAGGTACTCTCGTTTCCATCTCCGCTGTTGGCCTTGCTGCCGTTCGCATCTTATTGTAAACATTTATAACTCACTGCAGTTGTTGTATAACCAAAAAATAGTGGGAAATAATAGCTTGGTTTTTTAAAGCTATTATTTGCATGAAAAGCATGAAAGCGAAGTTAAATTAACAATTTATTTATTTTTCCTTGTTGTATTTGTATTATATAAAAAAAGAAAAAAGAACAAAGTTGATTCACACACATGAATATGGTGTATTCTGCTTCGTTAAGTATTTTGGATATGCATCAACAGGGAAGAAAAATCGGACATAGGTGGATTGGTTAATCCCTTCATAACCACAATATAGAATACAAGACACCATTTTCACACAATTCAAAGGGAGGAAGTCTTTAATAGATGAGATGAGAAAATAAAGGAAGAAAAAAAAGTAAAAAGGACCATCCAAATTCACTCGTGTCACTCTCCCTTCCATCCTTAGAGAGGACACGCCAAAGGCAGACATGGCATGGCAAACCACTCTATTTGCCCTAGATTTAGCAAGTTCAAATACATCACCCATGTCAAGTTTACGTTCATCAGGCAACTCCCATGTAAAACATTGGACCTCCTACCTGTCCCCAAAGGAATAAACTCAAAAGTAATTCCCTTTAAAATCAGGTGCCTCCTGTTTCAAGAATATTTTGTGGACCTCGAAAATCTGAAGATTAAAAAAATTAATAATAATAATAAAAAGTGGATGATGAATTTTTTAATCTTGTTTTGAGCTGAATCAGAGCGACAAAAGATTGTATCTTATTGTATCTGGGTACGGTTGAGTACTTACATATTTTCTGCAATATTATCTAATGTGAGAGGGGAATGTTGAATGAAAAGGTTATAATTAAGTACTACTTGATTACAATGATGATGCCTTTAATGTTGTCCATTGTGAGTTCAATTCCATTTTGTACATTTTCGGAATACCTCCTTTGGCCTCTTTGCCGCAGAAAGCTAGCATTTCATCCACCATATCTGTGGTGTTAGCTGGCTGATCGTCCGAAGGATTATTTTGAGTCCTTTTCTGCATGTGATCGTTAATGATGGAGTGGATGAATCTATCAAGTGAGTCACGAGTCTTGACGAGTCTAGAGTTGAGCCCTTGTGGATCAAACCAACCAAGCCAAGGAAAGAAATCAACAATGTTAAATGGACCAAAAGCTCAGAGAACTCCTGCACAATCTTGAGAAACTCTTCTCGTCCTTCATTTCTTGATCCAAAAGCATCCCTACAAGTAACATTCATTGAAAGCGTAAAACTCAAAAGTCCCTAACACTCACTACCTTGCGTGCACTGGTTGCAACGGACTTCTCCAAGGAATTAACAACCTCATCTCTCACAGTCTCCCATGATTCAGACAATTTGCGGCTAAAAAGATACATGACGCAGAGCTTACGCAACTGGCGCCAGAATGAACCATAGCGGGCAAAGGCCAAATCGGAACCATTATAGGATTAATGGTAAGAAGCGTCCCTTTACTTTTTATATTTTCTTCACAGGACTCCTCTACTCTTTTTTATATTCATCATGTTCATCTACTATTTAATTTTTTTTTTTTTTTTTGTAATGTGGACCATCTTGCAAATTTTCGGCTCATTTTTTAATCAAAAGTGATATTTCACACAAAAAATTCCAAGTGGTATGACACATTAGAAAAATTTGTCATGTGGAAAAGACCTAACCATCACCACCACCCCCACCCAAAAAAATAATAATAATAATAAAAAAAAAAATAAAAAAAAAACAGAGAGAGGCTAATTTCATATAAAAGAAAAAAAAACCCCAAGTATAAAAACACAAACTTTTTCTCTTTGCTCACTCTTGATCCATACCAAAAACCAAAATTTCCTTTTCTCTTTATTATTATTATTTTTTTCTTTGTTGGTGAGATCATTTTTTCACCATTGATGAAAACAGTAGTTGCTTGAATAATTCTCCTGAATTCATTTTATTCATCACTAAGCATTATATCATATAACCCTAAACAAAAACATAAAGCACTATTCTTGAAAACAAATAGCAAAGAATCTACTAAACTAAGAAACTACCTAAAGTATATCAACAGAAAATTGACTAACAAAAGAATCCCTTAATGTCAAGATTTACCAAACTTTTCAACACTCCTCCTCAAACTAGAGATTAGATATCGATCATTTCCAGTTTACTTACATATGATTTAAATCCCAACTTAAGCAATGCCTTCGTGAGAATGTTAGCCTCTTGTGACTTTGTAGGCACAATGTAAGGTGAATGTTCCATTTTTGATCTCTGACTTGATGAAATTCTTGTCTACCCTCATATGCTTCATCTGGTCATGTTGGATCAGATTATGAACAATATTGATGGATGATGCTATCGCCATACAAGTTCATTGGTTCTTGTAGTGGAAGGTTCAAATCTTGTAGTACCCTTTCTAACTAGATTAGTTCACAAGCACCTTGAGCAATTGCCCAGCTACTCCTTGCAACAACAGTTTGTTTCTTTCTTCTCCAGGTTACCATATTTCCCTATAGTTTCATACAGTATCTAGTAATAGACTTTGTATCTTCAATTGAACCTATTCAATTTGCATCTGCAAAGCCTTTGATACTTTTCTAATTATTATTCTAGAAGAGCATCCCTTTCCTAAGTGTACCCTTCAAGTATCGAAGAATTTGATCCGTTGCTTCTAGAAGCCTCTTAGTGGGTGAGTGCATGAATTGACTTACTATAATACTATTTCGATATGTTTTTATTTTTAGTATTAGATCCATGATAAAAAATGTGTTTTTGATTGTTCCACAAGAAATGAAACAAAAGATATGGTAGAGCTATGACAATCATTGTAGGAAGTTTATCCAATGCTAGATGCAAAGACGGATAATAAATCGATATGAACATCATAAGTTGTCCCTTAATAAAACTTCTTGTTGCTAATACTTTCTTCTCGATTCCCTTTTCTCCTTTTTTTATAACTTGAGCTCGGAGAAGGAAGAGATAAGAGAGTCCTATGGAGAATGTAGTAAGAAATCCATAATAGAGTCCGACGTCAACGACTAAATTGATTATTTTTATGCATAAATATACTAGATTACCTAGTATAAAAGATTTCAAAATCATCACAAACCTCCTTTTTTGTTCTTTTCCATTGCAATTTCTTGATCATTATATGATGATTTTGTCTTGGAATAAATGAAATAAAATGGATTAATACTTGTCCAATCTAGCCTATTATCAAAGATCAATCTCGAACTTTATGAATCGTTTCTTTTTATACTCGATACGTAAAATGTGGGATTTCTCTAATTAGATTCTTAGAAAATCATAAATCAAACCATTCATACTTCAACAAAATAAACATGAGCCTCTTCGATAGAATATATATATTTTTTATTTCAACACTAAATAAGTACGAACTAATGTCATCAATTGAGGAGTAAAAACATTTGATAAATCTGATTGGGAATTTTATACACACCATAATTCTATTTAGATATGCTTTTAGATAAAGAAGAAAGATGTTTAATGAGATAATTATAATTTTAGTTCAGGTAATTTAACAAAAAAAATTGCATCTGATTTCTTCCTTAAAGTTTGGGTTCTTCCGTTTTAATTATCATATTTTATTAGAGTTTTTTCCTGTCTGCTACAAAATTGGGCATTTGGGCTTCTCCTTGTCGAAGTAGCGTATATGGGCTTTTTAAACTTGATCAACATGCAAATAAAGAGATGAGAACCTCTCACAACCGTTGTTCTTGTTGATGCTCGTTATGCTTTGAATTTGACGTAAAAAATAAAAATTCAGTAGAAATCATGAACATCTGGCGATCTCAAATGTAATCACAAATTTTATAGTAAGTTGTGACATATCTATCTCGACTTTTACTCCCTTTTGCTTCTTAGAATGAACTCTAAAGCAACGGTCCATAAATGAACTATGTTTCTATTATTCAAAGTCTTTTACTTCCCTTACCCTTATGACTTTTCCAATTCAAAACAGTTGAGTCTTCCATTGCAGCTACGTGAAGTTGATTATAAGGTTTAAATTTTTGACAATACTTCTTTTTTGGACTAATTAGATCCCACAACGTCTGTCCCTCTTTTTGGATGGAAGTGCATGAAAAGCACATACTAATTAGATCATTTTTGCTTCGGAATATCTATCAAAGATAATGATTAAGTTAATTTCTTCAAAAAGATGTGTTTAGTACGTAATTATCCAAATATAAAAGCTAAAAAAATTAGCAAATTATAAACTACTCCCTTTGAATTTTTAAAAATAAATTAAATAATTTTTTTAGTTTTAAAAACTAATTAATTAGTCAATTCTCTCCATCAATCTTTCCGTTATTTTATATTTTTTTTAAAATAAAAAAGATTAGAAAATGACATGAAGAGAAGAAATTGACTAATTAATTAATTTTTAAAAGTAAAAGAGTGATTTAATTTGTTTTGAAAAAACCAAACTAAAAGAAAAGTACTAACGTTAGCAAAACATAAGGCTGATATAAGCCGCTAGCAAAATTTGACATTTCGGAATGGGATTTGCTTCTTTCCTGACACGAGTGCCGGCTGAAATGATTTGGAGTTCGACTAAACTTCATTTCTTTTTCATACAAGACAACAAGAATTTATCATCCTCGCCAAACACGGTCATGTTCGAATGGAAGTTACACGTTAGGTGGGGAGGCAAAGAGACATATCTCTCGTTTTCGAAGGTAATAATAACGTAAAGAAGGGTGTGAGGAGGGGGTTTCTTGTACTTATGATGAACAGATCATTCATTAAAATATTAGGAATCTCAGACGTTTGATCGGAGTTGCAAAGGAGGATTAGATTTTCAGATCTTTGAGGTCAGGGATTACTGCATTTTGTGTGTGGATTACATCAACTTCACAGCACAAAATTCTTAATTTCCTAAAATGCATTCGATTACCTGATATGAAAAAACTTCATAGATCACTACCGAATTTAATATTTATTAATAGAAATTCCAACTCGTAAATACTAGATGCATGCATCATCCTCTTGAATAGGAGGA